GAAATAGGCTGGTGGTCAAAAAAACAAGCACACCTTAAATTTTACATAAAAACTGCAGATTAAAGAAATATTTCTGAGCCTAAAGTAACAACACGTAAAAGGAGATTACCATGCATTAATCCTTTCAAATTCTCTCTAAGATTAACGATAAAAGAATTAAAATAAATTTGTCTCCAGTTGCCTGCTTAATCACATTGGTTTTGCTTCTGTTTTTTTCTTGAAAACAATATTTCGTTTGTATCAAACATATTTGAGTGTAAAATGGCTTTGGATCCATGGGCAGTCGCTCAGATTACTGCATTAATTGAGAACGGCCGAAGTCAGTGATATGTGGCCTGAGTCCACGGGCTGCTTGAAATAATGTGACAGGAAGCCATGCTAAGAGCCATGATCAAGCCATACGAGAATGATAGGTCAAGGTCATAACTGCTTCATTGCTATGGAGACTCTAAGGGACTGTTACCAAACTTCAGTCGAGACTTCCCAACCATTGCGTATTGATCAGGATACGGATGTCAGCACCCACACAGTAAAGAGAAGGCTTGCTGAACTCAACCTGCATATTAAGGTTCCCGATTGTGGCTCTCTACTCACTGCAGCACACTGAGAAGTTGCCCTTCACTTTCGTGGTGAACACGCTCCTTGGACAGAATGATTTGGCTTCTTTTTTCTGATGAGTCCAGGTAGAGTCTTTATGATGCAAACAGATGAGTTCGAGTGTGGATAAAACCAGGTAAGCAATATAGCAGGAACAGTACAGTTTGGAGGAGGATCGGTGAAGGTTTGGGGAGAAATATTTTTAGAGTCAAGGACAGACCTGCATGTGTTCCAAAGGCCGAAGCTCAATGCATACAAGTACATCACCGACATCCTCGAGGAATATGTGGTACCTTTTGGCCTATTTATTGTCCTTCGTTCCCTTTTTATGCAGGATAATGCTTGGCTGTACATCGAAAATGTTGTACAGGACTACCTAGACGAGGATAGTGTCTGCATCTTGGAGTGGCCAGCTCGCAGCCCAGACTTCGATCCTATTAAGCATCTTCAGGACCAGCTTAAGACGTCCATCCGTTGACAACAGAATCGTCAATGTAACCTCTAAGTATGTGAAATGGATCAGATTCAAGATTCGTAGTATCCACCTTATTTGTAGTATGTCTACGAGAAAGCATGCCATCATTAAAGAAAACGGAGGCAACATTAAGTATTAGAGACTCAGATTTCATTACTAAAAAAGAATTAGAAGTGTTTTATTTTTGTTTAAAACAGTGTTCATTTGCTTTATTCACATTACAATTTTCTATGAGTGAAATGAATTTTTGTTGGGTTTTCCCCATTATTTGTAATATCCTACAAGTAGAATTTGTCACACTATATTGAGGTAAAAAAATTTTTTTTTCTGTAGGGAAGGAAATAACGAGAAAATTTAAGGAATGCCGGTTTTTTATGACCACCAATGTATTTCTGCTTGGAACTGTTTCACCACATGTAAGGGAATTATTTAATAAAACAAAAAAACAAAACAAAAATTATAAACACAGACACCAATTTCCATGAATATAACATTTACTTTTCTTAATACAATGAATAAATAAAAATACCAAAGAGGCAGTCCCAAAGTCAATCAATCTTCGATTGTATGGTTATTACAGACTGCTTCCGAGTATTATCTAGATGAAAATAAAATAGTGAAATAAAAAAAATATAAAAAAAAGAAGAAGAAAAAGAAAACTAGTTTCAGATTAAAATTTGTATCTCTTACAATTTTCTGATTCAAAAATACAATATATTTAGTAATATAAAAAAAAAAAAACTTGACATTTGCATTTTTCTATTCTATTTGCATTATAAATTCAATATAGGAAACTGATTGTTAATTACCAACGAGTGAGCAGCTGTACAAAAACAGAACATGTGGGCATGTTTTAGTCAAAACAGAACAATAGTTATATCTTATTTTAAACAGCTTTAAAGAATTGTTTGCAATTCGGATTCTTGAAATAATTAAAATTAATTATATGGAGATGGCCTATTCAATATAATGGTTTCTACTAATGGCATAGTCTTCTGAACTTTTTCCATATGGTTTAAGTTCATCATTCAGCAGCGTCTGTATAATCACAAGTTTCACTGTGCATGCAGCCTACACAATATTTTTAAATTTTTAGCTGGGCTGCTATAAACAAAAATTTCCTCATCTCTGGTCTAAAGTGATCTGATATACCTTTATGTACAGCAACTAGAAGACTGGTGAATTAACTTATATTCATGAAAAGTTATAATAATAAACTGCAAAACTACCTCCAATCCATAATGTACAAGTAAGCAGAATGCTTAATAAGCAGCATTAAGACATTCCACTTTAATATTTTGACTACCACCTAATAAAAAAATAAAACTGAAAAGCAACAGTAAACAGGCAAAGGAAGGAACACTGCTTCTCCAACTTAGCATCCAACCTAGATTGGAGGATTGCAAAACTATTTACAAAGCAGTCATAAGCCAAAGGTGGAAAGCAAGTCAACCAAATCACAAATAACAATCCCCATGATGATTATTTAAAGCAAACCAGAAGAGAGCAGGTCATCATTTTTCGCCTCAGAACTGGACATAACCGTTTGGAATAACTTCTTCAGGAAGTTCTAAATAGGACCCAGTCTCCTGTGTGATTGTGGCCAAAATGAACAAATCACAGAACTGCAGAACAGCACATTCTCCAGAACTGCCAGCTGGTGGAGGAAATGCGGAGACAGATACGACCCTAAACCACAGACCTTGGGACCAAGCTTTTCGGAAGTCTGGAGGATCTAAGGAGGACCACTAATTTTATATTTTTATTTCCTCACATAGCCATCTAGAGGGAAGAACAAAGAAGAAGTATTAGTTCCCTTTGTTAATAGGATCACTGTCTGTTCTCTTTGTTTGTTTGTTCTCAATTGTCTGTTCAAGGACCATCAACAGAGAAAACGGATCTCTATATTAATTTTTTTTTTTTTTTTTATTTCTTAAAGACATTTACAACTGTATTAAATAAATACATCAAGTAAATTAGAACATAATGTATATAATGACATGAAAAACACTTGCTGAGTAACTACCCAATGGTAGCACTCTAATGATATGTTTACATTAGGAGATCACGAGGTCATCTTCTTTTCAGACGCCTCGGAGGGTTATCAGGAATTGAAGAGGAAGCAAGGTTAGAAACGAGAGGGTTGGGATGATTCTGAAGTTTAGGATAGGTATCTGGATTGGGCCAGATCTGAAACAAAAGGAACATTAAGGTCATTATGGATGGTTTTATTTGTAACAAAGTAGGGAGCATTGAGGATTTTTCAAAGGATTTTGGATTGTAAGGATTGGATACAAGAGGAATTCGATGGTTTAGTGGAGCCCCAAAGCTCAACTCCGTAAGTCCAAATAGGCCTTATTATAGTCAAGTATATGAGTCTTTTGTAATTAATTGGAAGATTAGAGCGTTTGTCTAGTAAGTGCTGAAGTAATCGGAAACGTCGAGCGGTTTCTTGTCGTTTCAGTCTAGTATGAGGATTCCAAGTTAGTCGTTTGTCCAGGTGGAGTCCTAGGTATCGGATTTGCTCAACAGGGATAAGTGGAGTATTGTTAAAGGAAACTGTGGGACAGGAAGTTGTTGGTTTACGATATTAATTTTAAAATAGAATATGTAACACAAATGCCAATTTTTTTTTTTTTTTTTTTGTCCTCAAGTATGAGTTAGACAGGAAAATTTCATTATTAAAGTGACAAATTGAATAGATTTTTATTAAAAGTTTTTACTTTTTCAATCATACCGGAATTTCGGTATAAGGCCAACTATTTTCTGTATCTGTAACACTTAAAAGCTCAGAATTCCACTTTTTTTGTAATTAAAAAAAAAAATAGTAAAACAAGACTTTATTCCTTCTTGATGCCTAAAAAAATATGTTAGTAATTTTAACAAATTAAAGTAGAAAGATGGGAAAAAAAAGAAAAGAAAAAGAATGAAAATAAATAGGAAAGATAATAAATTACATCACAATCATTGTGGCTAATTACTGAGAATAATAATAATTAATTTCAATTCATTAATGCTACTCTTCATTAAAGTACAATAAAATTATACAAAGTAATTATATAAATTAAATTTCAATTTACAAATAAATTAAGTATTCTGCACCTAACATTAAAAAAAAGAAGGTATTTATTATAATTATATTATTTTTAATATTGTTATCATTATTATTATTTTTTGAAACTACAAAATAAAATACACACACCAGTGAATTTTTTCCACTTTAGTGATTTCACAGTTATGAATATTTCCTTAAACATGCAGCTAGAAAGTAAATCTAACATAGAAAAGAATAAAATATAACGTTCTAAATAGGAATTTATAAAATGAGATCTAACATAAATATAATATTTATTCACTTTTATAAAAGCATGTAAATTTTAATACAATACAATTTTTTTTTCAAAATAATTCTAGAGCACCTCCTTGTTTTGTTTAACAATCCATATCTCTGTAAAGTTATAATTACCTTTTTGTAACTTCCTTAAGCAGAACGGCACTTAGTTCAAATAAATTCATTTCTCCACTTGAAATAATCTTTAAATGAATTACTGGTTTCATTAATTTATTAAATCAGATATTTTTAGTACTAATTATGAATTCCGTAACATGTTTAAGAAACTATTCATAATTGTGAAATCACTAAAGTGAAAAAAAAATTTCACTGGTGTGTTTGAAGTAGAAAAGCGCCGAAATATTACTTGTCAAGCATTCAAACTAGTAGATAACTAAAGTTATTTCCTACATCAACTATTGGTCTAAATATAACATAGAAGAACTGGGACATTAATAAAATCCATTAATGAACTGTACAGTCTAAGTAGATATTTATATTTATATGTATATTTACAGTGTATGGCTTCTCAATATCATTCTATAAATACTTAATGCCTGAAAGTTTATCAATGAAAAACATATATCATAAACTTACTGAAAACTTCTTCAGGAACATCATCGAAAACATCTGCATTCCCTATAGTTCTAGGAACTCCCTTTGTTGCCTGAAAAAAAAAGTTTTAATTATACTCTTGTAGTCTATGCACCAGAATGCAATCATTAATCATATTAACACACTGTGATTGTGACACATAAACATACAGTTTTTGTAAACTATGCTAGATCATGGGTCATATATAGATGTAAGGTAAATAAGAACAGGTTACTAATGTTTATAGTTGTCATTTCTCTTACATTATTGATAGTGATGAATGTAAATCTTTGCTTGGAATAAAAAATAGAACAAAGCTGTTATATGCTGAATAAACTCAACAGCAGTCTGACAAAAGCAACCTCAGTCACAAATGTCTTTTCAGCATTCATTTTATGCGAGTGAAGGTGGCAACACTACCTGGTGATTCTGGCTACAATAAACCCTCCTGTTTCCACAATAAGGATCTTTTTTAGACCAATTACTATTTTTATTCCTGGCTAATGAAATGAAACAATTTTATAATCAAAACACTAATATACAAGCCAAATTAAGATATCAGCCCTTCAAAGGTAAAGTGAACCAAGTCCACAAATGTAGTTTTGAGATAATCAAAGTTAAAATTTACTAACGCTTCTTCTTTGGTTCTACAGTCCAAGGTGAACTTTGGCCTCTCCAACAATATTTCGCCATCCTTCTTTGTCCATGGCCCGTTTCTTCCAGTTGGACACTCCAATTTTATTAAGGTCCTCTTCTAAGTCTTTAATCCAGCATTTACATGGTCGTCCCCTCTTTCTTTTTCCTGGGAACGTTCTGTGCAGAACTTTTTTGGGCATTCTTTCACCTGGCATTCGTTCGGTATGACCCAGCCAACTAATTCTTCTAGCTTTAATGAAACTTACAATACCATTATAAGTATATAAGCTATATTAGATCATCAAATTCTTTGTTACACCTAATGTGCCATGTACCTTGTTCATTTATTAGACCGAAAATACACCTCATAATTTTCCTTTCGAATATTCTAAGGACTTACTATTCACCTACTTTAATTGAAGGAAATTAGTCGACTGTTATACATATCATGGGTGATAAATATTCAGGATGCAGTCTTTTCTTAAAATTTTTTTTTAAATTTTTTATTTATGCTGTTTCAACCCAAACATGTGGGTCATCTTCAGGGCGTGATTTGTTCAAGTACTCAAACACCTCAGAGGAGTACTTGAACACCCTCAGTGCTCAAACCACACCCTGAAGATGACCCACATGTTTGGGTTGAAACGTTGGCATAAATAAAAAATTAAAAAAATATTTTAAAAAAAGACTGCGTCCTGAATATTTATCACCCAGCTACTTTAAGCGTTCATGTCCCCACGCCATAGCACACAATGGGCCTGATAAGGGTCTTATATAATTTGAGCTTTGTGCGTTTTGATAGTAGGGCAGATTTAATCAATTTACAGAGACCGTAATAACCTTTGTTGCCACACATTATTCTTCTCATAATCTCATCACTCACCCTAACCATACTGTTTATTTCAGTGCCAAGGTACATGAAGCAATCAACAGCTTTGAATGTATAGTCATCATATCTAAAATCTTGCTTTCTTCTTCTTGCCTCAGAGCTTGATGCTACCATGTATTTGGTTTTAGATTGGTTTATCTCAAGACCCACGATTTTACTTTCTTGCACAATCTTTGCCAGAATTTCCTTTAATGCCTTCTCACTTCTTGCCAGAACCACAATGTCATCTGCGTACCCAAGTATTTGACATAAGTGAGATGCTAGATTTCCAACAGATACAATATTTTGTAGTGCTTTATGTACCACAAGATTAAACAAAATGGCAGAGAGAGAGTTTCCTTGCCTTACACCAGAGGCAAAATATATTTTCCTGCTAACTCTATTGCCAATGATTACACTAGCCTGTCTCCGGAACATTGTCATTTTTATTAAATTAAACGGAACTTTAAATTTTTTTATGGCATTAAATAATTGAACTCTATCCACACAATCAAAGCTTGCTTAAAATCAATAAATAGCATGAGGACATTCGTATTAGGCTCATAACATTTTTTGAGCACTTGGCGCAAGACAAAGATTTGATCAGGAGTATCCCTGTTAGGCCTGAGATTTACTACTGCTAATTGAATATTACTGCAGTATTTTTATTTCTGTAGTAGGAAGATAAATAAATAAGAGTCATAAAATGATAATTCTGAAATTTTATGGGAGGGTTTTAAAACTAACAACTGTTGTAAATTGACAGAAAATAATAAAGCAGAGAGATGATTCACTATGATTATGAAAATATACACCATTATAAACTATTAATCTGCAAAAACATTTTTTTTTTTTAAATATTTCAAATAAATTGATTTTAGTCCTGAATGTCTCATATTACAAAATGAAAAGATGTAACATATATGATAATATAAAATAAATTCTCACCTCTCGGTACTTAAGTAAATACAGCTTGAGTGGTTCTACGTAGTTATCAAAACCAAGAGTTGTCATAGCAAATAGTATATCTTCTCCATTTATGGTTTTTCGTTTTTCCATGTGACATCTTTCAGATGCCTCGGAAGTAATAAAACTGATGAATTCAGAAACGCATTCTTGAACACATTCCCGAGCGTCTTTGGCAATCTGAAATTATTACTATCATTTTTTTTTCAACTCTAAAAAAATCAAAATTGATTTTAATACCAAATAGTGCCACAAATCTTGATATATTTGTGAATTAATGAAAGTTGTAGCGGTTTTCCACTAACCACTTTTCTCTACAAGTCAGTTTTTTTGTCTTGACTTTTGCATGTTTTTTAGAGTGTTTTCTTGTACTAGATATTTTCATAATGGAGGATGAAGAGATTTTAAAAATTTTACATGAATCTAGAAAAAGATCAGGGTGTATTTTGATAAATTATCATTCTGTCAAAACATTATACATGGTAGTAACTGAAACAAAATTTGGCCATAGTTTACATGGACTTTTTGTAGCTCTTAAGGTCTATTATCACCTTAAGAGATAATATAAATATTTTATTTTAATATATATAAATAATACATAAATATTAATACAGATAATATTAATATAAATATTTCCAATTATTTAAGGGGCATCCTGTAAAGAGCTAAGAGATTAAAAATTCATTCAAATCTTTTTATAATCGCCCAATTTTATTGGAAAATAATTTTTACTCAAAGTAGAGCGGATAGTGATAGTTGAGTGATATGGGGAACAGAGTTTTATTATATGATAAATAATATAGTATATCCTTTTATTATATTTGAAATTTATAAATATCCCCTTAGCAATAATTAGATGGTAAGAGATTTACTAAGAGCATGTTCACCATCAAATTTGGCAAGCATTCCATACGATTCTGCAGGAGTTATCATTAAGCAGTAACAGAAAACTAATACTGTAAGCAAATCATACTCATCAAAATTCATTTTCTAGGCCTCCTGAGAAATAGATATTAAAAACAGGTGTTAGAATCAAACCGACATTTAGAACTGGACATCCTGGGACCCACACCCCAATATACTAGTTCATCACATGTTCAATATGAGATATAACTTACTTTTCCACTTTCAGGGATCGCTTTCTTCATAATTTTAGCAACATTGGCTATAGGTAAAAACCTGTCTTGTTCCCTCAGGATGTGCCTAGTTTCTACATCATGGCTTGAATCATCAGTATTATTCTCTTCAGCAAGTTCTAATTCATCTAAAACAGTAATTTCATACTTAACACATATTCATTCAGTAATTTTTTGCACCACCATTCATAAAATGCCTTCATGCTTGCAAAATGCATCTCTTTATCTCAGCTGGTAAAAATTAGAATTAATTTATTTAAAATCAAAAGAACAAGAATCAATTATTTTCTGTAATATACAAATGATGAATTTTCGTCATGTTAATATATGAGGATATATGTTGATATAACAATCAAACATAATAACATTTTAATGTATATAAAAAGGGTAATTAAGATAAATTCTAGCAAAAGATGTAGAATCAACGATGCCCGTGTCAAACAATATAAGATATAATTAATTCATGAAATATGAAACAAAAAAAAGTTAATAATTATTTCATTTCCAGATTCTACATAACAAACAAATTTTCTATAAAAATAATACAAAAGTTGGATTTTAGAACAGCATCCTATTTGTTTAATCCTATAATATTGTAAAGATAGCATCAAACCAATGGAATATTTGTAATTAATTAATTTTAGGATTGTATAATCTGTGAGCTTAGATTAATTATCATTGCCAAAATTTATTTATTACAAGTAATTTTTTTTTAATAAAACAGAACAATAAATCTAATAATAAAACATTTAACTGAGTTTGCAACTAGTGATAATTAAGTAAGCCTTATCTTCATATAAATTCTAACAATGCTTAACTGGTTTTTCCACTAAAGTAAATGTAGTAAGTTCACTTGATTAATTTTTTCATGGCTGATTGGATGTAACATATATATATCCCACTTTTAAAGTTGAGAGAATCGGGTTTGGCAGTATTAAAACTTATATGACAATCCAATAAAGAGTTATTTACAATAAAATTAATTTTAACTATTGGAAAATTAGAAATGATAACCCCATCATTGGGGAGGAAGAAAGTATAAATTGATCCTTGTACTAAGATATCATTTTAGTAATTGATATGAATAATAGCAGGTACAGCTTTGAAAAAACAAAAGTTTTAAATACCATCCATGTCCTCTTGAACAAGGAATGCTTGAGGATCACTGTGTAAAAATGAAGTCCCAAGTTCATCACCACTTTCAGTATTTTCCATTATGATTAAGTCCTTTAATATGTTTGACTCACTGGGTTAACATGATAAGATAAACCTGTAATGAAAATGACATCCCAAACTAAAATTTAAGTATATCTCATAAAATATTAGATCTATACTCATAAAATGAAAAAAAAAAAAAAAGAATACCTAATTCATTCTAAACCAATACTAATAAATCAGTTATGAACAACATATTACAATATTATATCAATATACAAACAATTATTACAGATTACCTCTTCATGAATTGGGATCATAGAATCAAAATATATCAATTTCACATAACATAACAAGATAGCAAGTATCCAAAATAAAATAAACGAAAAATAATAACAAACTAGAGTTTCAAAAAATTACAAAGATAAAAATATCATATCCACTTAAGACCTTTGTTTGGTTGTAACGTAGCATAACCTTTACCTTGCTATAACATTGATATTCCCTTCAAATAGTAATCACAGAGAAGTAAGATTTTCAAAAAAAAAATAAAGAACTTAAATTATGAGAAAGTTCATCTGTTTCATCTTTGAAATCCAAATGAATTATTCAAATTTATAACTTAAAGTAAAATTAAGTATCATTATAAACATTTAATAAAATAACTGAACTTGTTTTTCCTCCTTACTAAACATTGTAGTCTTCATTGGGTAAACTTTTCAGACACAATTCGGAAATCTATAAAGATTCTGGCTCTATAAATTAATTTCGTTCATGTAAATCTTCGATTCACTCCTACATTTATAATCATAAATTTCTCACAAGCAATTGAGAATGTGACGAGAACAGGAATGTGTTAACTAAAAGCCGGAGGTCAAAATGTAAATATGATCCTAAGCTCCTTTCTCAAAACATTTCAACATAAAATATATATTATACAGAATTCACAAAACAGAGGATAAAGTGGCAAGGAGATACGGGGTCCGTAATTTGAAAAATACTGAAGTAAATATCAAATTCCTACTTGGGCTGAAGAATAAATTTGAACCCTTAGATTCAGAGAGCCACGCGGTGGACCAACGCTGGGAGGAAATAGAGAAAGGGTTAAAGAGAAACAGCTAACAAGGTGATAGGTATTCAGGAAAAGAAGAATGCGAACAGACAGTAGAGGACAGAAGAAAAATGAAAGTCCTCTGCCAACCTACAGGTGATCAAACTAGTCTGGAGAAGTACACAGCTACCAAGAAAATGTAAAATAAAATTATACGATCGGCAAAAAGGGAATTCCTCAAATAAAGATTGGAAACCATTGAGAACAAGTGACATGTTGGAGATATACGCAGATGTTCTTAGATGTGCATTTATTATTAGCAAAGAAAGGGTAGAATATAAAACGAGAAATACAGATATGCTAAGAAAAGTTGGCATTCTGACGGCATATAAAGAAAAGATTTTAAGCATCTGAAAAGAATATTTCCAGCAGCTTCTCACGTCAAGTTGACTCCACAAACGAAGAAGATCTGGACCTCGACCCAAAAGAAATTTAAACACTTAAAACAAAAAAGGCCCAAGGGATGGACAGCTTACCATCAGGTCTGTTTAAATATAGAGAGATGACTTAATAGCCAAGTTACAAAAACTAATCCAGAAAACAAGGAAGAAGGAGGGGATACCAGAGGCTTGGAATACGGGCCTAATTTGTCCTATCCTAAATAAAGGTTCCATTTCTGAATGTAGTAATTACAGAGGCATAGCACTCCTTCCGATTGGCTACAAGATAATGATCAATATCCTAATAAATCCGTATTACGAAAACATAACAGGCGAGCACCAAGTTAGATTCAGAAGAGGAAGAAGCACATTTGATCAGATCTTCATATTAAAACAAGAACTCGAAAAAAGGTAAGAAGTAGATCAGAACGTCCACGTCTTATTCGTCAATTTAAAAGCAGTCTATGATTCCGTGAACAGGAACTGTCTTTGGAAAACCATGACTAAACTATGAGTTCCAGGTAAGTTAGTGAGATTGATAAGGGCTTGTATAAATGACCTTAAATGTCGTGTCCTAATACAAGGAGAAGTGCCTGAAGCTCAAGTTCCAGAGCTCCAACTGGATTACGGCAGGAAGATAAGAACAAAGTAACACGAAAATGGAGGGGTGCATGTCGGATTGAATCATAAAATATTATGTTGGACATACAGATGACATAGTTGTCCTTGGAAGTAACCAAGAGGACACTGAGAAACTCGTTAATATTCCGTAATAAACATAATTTCCGATGAGAGAAGCAGAGTGAATCGGCCTTCAAATAACAGTAGGCAAAATAAAACATAGAATAATTAGTCCAAAATTACACCCTGATAACAGGATCTATGTAGAAGAAAAATCGTTCTCTAGAGTAGATAAATTCAAATACTTCAACTCCACAATTAGTCCAATGAATGACCAACTGTGGAAATAGCCAAGTATCACATGCACAAATATATCTTTCTTCTCCTTTCAAAGCTAATGAAATCCCAAGTTAATTCTGTACAATGCTATGACAAGGCCAGTTTTAACATATGACTGTGAGAACTGGGCACTTTAACAGCACTCCAGAAAAAAGCATACAAAGATTTGATAGAAAAATCCTTCACACAATAACAAGAGCGATATGGGATCAGAGTACTAATACATGTAGGAGAAAGACCAATAAAGAGCTGCTAACAGAAATTGGTCAATATCTCATGATATGAAGGCAAGAAGGTTAAGATGGGCATGCCATGTAGCTGGGAGAAAACATCTGGAAACCTCTACATGACAACGAATGCCTCAATTGTAGGTAAAAGTCCATCTGGAAGAACAAAAAGCAGATGGATAGATCAAATCAACAAAGATACTGTAGAGCTCCATCCAGATAACAGGAAAGAAATAGTCTAATATAGGCAGTGATGGAGAAGACAAGTAAAGGCGGCAAAAGATCTACAAGGTCTTTAATGCCAACAAAAAATTGTATCCATTGGATAAACATATCCAAACCATTAAAGTGAATGTATTTCTATGATAGACTTCAATAGAACTTCATCTCAGAATCAGACCCAGTGAACCAGCTGATATAAATGTTGCTTCTTACCCAGCTCTTGTTTCAGTATGTACGGGTCAGGTATATAGTCTTTCATATATTTATATGTATCCAGGGGTGACCATCCCCCAAGGTCGATCGGCTATAAACCATCCCTCCTTCTCCAAACTTTTTATTACTCTCATCTTCTTAAAAACAGTGCAAGCGAAAGTATGATTAGACAAATCGTAGATCATACATAATTACATCATTCCTCTCAGTTCTCCGTTTTAAAATTTTTCACCTCAAAAATCCATGGCCCTCTCGAAATGTGCCCCCCTTTAAACATTTTGATGGTGCAACTTGTGCCATTCTGGGCATCCCTGTAGACATCTTTAATTATTTCCTTTCTTTTTTTTGTGTCTAACCATGCCATTATTTATCTTCAAGTACACTTTGTCTACCTTTGCAATCCTATTAACTTCTTCTTGGTCAATCCGACCAAAACTATTTATTATGGCGCCCAATTTGATGGAAATACGAATCAGAAATTTTTGAAAAAGAAAAATATGAACTTTTTATTAAAAAACATTTGAAAATAATAACACACACCTTCTATTTAAGACAAATGTTTATTTTACGTACAAAAGATTTCATGAAGAACTCCACAGACTTTTCGACAAGTGAATAAAGAATATGGTGACAACAAACATCTCTGGGATTACCAGAAGGCTAAGAGATATTGTGTAAAATTTAAGTTTAGATCCTGATGAGTGCTAACTTCCCAAATTAATCTTGTTATATTGATGTGTAAAAGCATAATCACAATATTTCTCAGTAGGAGCTTAAGAACTTCTTCGTAGTAAAAATATGGTCAATTTCATGATTTAAATTGATTATTAAAGTTTAGATTTTAGCTCTAATTCACAGATTTGAAATCATAAAACGATAACCCTTTAATGCACATTGAAAATACGATTGTGCATTTAGTCATAGATAATAGATTGTTATCATCTATTTTTTGAAACAACATAAGTAAAAAGTGTGGATAGAAAAATAATTCTTGATCATTTATTAAATAAATCCTGGAATTTCCTATTGCTTTTCTTTTTTAGGTTAAATAATTTAGGAAAAATATTTAATTTAAAAAAGGGAAAGAGTAGTCATGATTTGTTAGCAAGTATTTTTCTGGGAAAAAAATTCAGTTTATCAGTTTGGATAGAGGTTGAAATAGACAAGAAAATATCATCCTTAATACTTTTAAGCAGCTTAAATCTCAGGCTTTAACTTGTAATTCTTCAGACTATGTCATTAAAACAACAAAACAAAGTTATATAAAGGAATTTTATTAATAATAAATAATACAGCGTCTAACATAGCCATTCAATGAACAATCTTATGACACTGTATAATTTAATACTTAGATAATACTTAAGTCAAATAAATAGCTGAAATCACATATTACAGGCTATTACTTCCAAACGATTAATGAATACTGCAGTCAATTCGATCTAAAAAGATAAGGAACCAATAATTAAATGCAATTTTTTTTCTTTTCTTTTTTTCTGGTTTTAATATAAAAAGATTCTTCCGAGTAATTTTGCTATGCCTGCTATATCTAAGTACAGACATACATTTCCTAAAATTTAATTTATATTGCAGTGCTAGATACCCTATTTATATAAACAGTCTACTCATATAACATTAAATTAATAAGGGTATCAAGATATATATATATATATATATATATATATATATATATATATATATATATATATATATATATATGAGATGTGAAAGACATTGCAAAATCAATTAATTAACCAATGGCAATTATTTTTAATTATATATTATATTTTACACTGAAACATATAAACATTGGTCAAATGCCCGTGTCTATTATTAGAAGACATTCATACTTTTATTTTTTTAATAGAAATATGATACAGCCACAAAATATTGGCACAAATAACTTTTTATTAATTGAAAAATTCAAATCTAAAATGTCTCCATTTTTTTTTATTTTTTTGAAAATGAGATTATTGGATAAGAGGACAAAATATTATTAATACATGTGTTTGCATATAAGGAAGTACAAGTATGTGTGTATATATATATATATATATATATATATATATATATATATATATATATATATATATAAACATACCAGCATATTGTACCTATACATTTATACATATACTCCATACATATATGTACAAATTTACACTTAAAAATTATTTAATAAAAGATTAAAGATTTAAAATATTTGAACAAAAATAAAAAAAATATTCTGTACACTGAAAGAAATACATTATAGAAGGATTAAACCTACCAGATATATATGTATATATTTCTTTAAATATTTCTACCAAGAGTTTTTCAATCTAATAGTTATCCTCCAATTTTTCCCTATATCAATACAAGGTTAGGTGGGTAGAAATTATGATTTAATAAAAAAAAAAAACTGTTAATTTTATACAAACAAAACAGAAAATTTATAAATTATTATCCGATAATCATATAAAAAAATAAAATAATAAACAAAACAACTCACTATAACCTTAATAACTCTAAAACAATAAATTAGATGTTAATAAATATTAAAAGAGTATTTTCAAAAATATACAACCCAGTATTAACAAAAGAAATATACAAATATATTTACAAAAGTATAAATGAAAAAAATAAAATAAATAATAATATACATAACAGGCAGTTTAAGATTTATAAACTAAATTATTAAACCTTTACGTAGTACACTTACAAAATGCAACCTAGAGATTCTATGTTTTTTTTTAGGTTAATCTTAATTTTCTTTGATGAACACAATTAAAAAAAAAGTAATAATAAAGTCAACATCAACTAGTTAATATGACAGCCTTCGTTATTACATTTTTACACCGTAAATGCATTCTACAAAGATAATTTACAAATATAAAAATAAAACAGGTAAATCGAATACCGTAGATCATACTATTCTTTAGTTTTTTTATCCATTTATCTTTTCTGAATGAATTGTTAATGTTATTGCTAAGAAAAATATACTTAAATATTCACGATTAAATGTTCTAAGTTTGTAACAGCTTAGATAAATATCTAGTTTCTTAAATTAATTTTAGTGGTGCTTATTCACAAAGCCTTAGTCCAAAAATACACATTTTACTTCGAGGCACCTTTTCGTAATGTTGTAAATGACAGACTTTGACACAGTAGAATTTGTTTTTAATATTATCAATCAACAAAAAAACAATAACGTTGATCACTAATTTAAGCTTAATTAATGTTTTGGATAAAGGCTTTTCAATATATAATACGAAAACAATTATTTTTGAAGTCATTTATGGACATGAAATCATTAATCTTTAGAATGATCATGACAACATATTATATCTGCACATGGTATATTTAATAATATATTCATGAAAATTATTTCAAATCCAGATAAAGAGGAAATAACCAAGCAAAGTCATTCATAATATAATTATATATTTGATTATAAATTGATGAATTGTTTATCAAAACTTGATTAACACCATAATGTAATGGGATGAAAATTTCAATGTAACTATAATCAATTAAAAAACAAAGACAAATAGTCCAGACCTTTTCATTCTACTAAATCGGATTTTATAAAAAGGTTTCAAATAACACCCTTGCTCAACCAGCAATTATGTTATTTAGAAAACTAATATATATTTTTGATATTGTAAGAAACCTCCATCTCAAAATGTATTGCTTAATTTTTCCTAATGCCACCAATTTATTGGTTCCTAAATACTCAAAATATTATTATTTTATTCAGTAACTTAAGGTACCATTTCTCAAACAAAATAGGATCTCCAGTTCACTGGAAATCCTGTAAGGTTCTCATCAATTTCTTAATAAATTTAGTCATTTCCTTCTGATAAGGCAAATTATAATTTCATTATATATATAAAAAAAAGAAGAAAAGAGGTAGTGATTTTCCAAATAAAGCGGAATAGACAAAATGTTGGTACCCCTAATACAAAATAAGCTGAGTAAGCCAATTTTTACTTTTTTTTTTTAATGAAAGTGAATGTTTTATAAATTCACTGCACTTTAATGATATAATAATCACTTCCTGAACAAAATAAAAAATTGACTAACTCTATATCATCCAAGATAAAATCCATCGCTTTACAATTATAAAAAAAAAGATTACTGAATAAATATGGAAATAATGAGATTGCTTGGTCATTTATTCAATTTAATTTGAAACCACCCAATTAAAAAAATAATTAAAGCTATATTTCAATAAGTTCAAAATCTTTACAATTATAGAAAAAAAATTATTTTGTATTTAACATCCAGAACACCTTTTAACGATATTTTTAAAATTATTTTATTATATTTTCTGAAGATGCGCTGAAAATTTTTCTTCAAAAGTCATAAAAATGAAATATTAATGCATGTGTTTTGAAAACCAAAATTAATTGTTAATTTCTAAACATTTGGAATGGCACCAGTAAAATATAATTTCTTAAAGTGGGAAAAACATTTAATGATCGAATGGATGATTAATCTAATTTTTAATTGGGGAAAAGGACCGACTCCCATGAATATAATGGGAATAATACATAACTAACACAAATTAGAAAAATACTTTTTTAAACCCAAACAAAAATACACTTTTGAGAATTAGTTGAAATAACATTAATGTTTTGTTAACATTGATTCAAACACATAACAAATAAAATAAATGAATCAGAATGTCGAAGTTATAACTATACTTAACACATCCAAAATTTTAAGAGATGGGGATTAATACTTTTACAAAAGCCACAAAAATCAGATTGTTGTTGGAAATAAGTTCAGATCTTTTACTTTCAGTTGGCAGAACTTAAACATATATAACTAGATCTCAAAAGATGATATTCTGAAAATAATCTAATGGAATATTTTGCTAAATAAATTGATAAATTTGAATTAACATTAAAACAAATTTCTGACAACCATTTCATCATAACATTCTCCTTTACTACAATTGAGAAACCCAAGATAGCATTCATAAATAAGTTTTTTTTATATTTCTTACAAAGTAATTTGATTTCAGATCTAAATGGTCATTCCTTACAAGTCATCTGCACAGTACAGCTGTACTTGGAAAAATAAAAGTATACAAGTGACATAAACCTCTTTAATATAAATAGATCAGTCTTGGTCTTTTTCCCTCACTAGAAATAAATTAATAAGTAATAAAATTTAAAAAAAAATTTCGGGAAGTTTATGTTTTATGTGAGCAGCACAAAACTTTCAAACTAAGATCAAGAAAACTTTTAATCAGAATGAGCATTGAGAATACGCTTAAACAATCTAAGAATAAATAAATAATAGTAATGTAATTAAGTAAAAAAAAGGTGCAGAGAATATCCAAATTGCTAAATATTTACTTATTTACTCAGTTTGTACTTATAAATTACTTAGATCTATTTTAGATAAGTTACAACTAGTTGAAAAACTGTTTTAATAGAGAATTGATTTTCGAATGCATATAAAAAAGTTGTAAGAAAAAGTCAAAATATAAAATTCCCCGTCTCTTTGTTTTGTACTTACACTGAATATTTTATACTAAAATGGAAAAAAAAGTGATGTTATACGGGGAGGGGGAGGAGAGTATTTTATTATGATTGACTGTATAGATAATGGGTAGAAAAGAAGTAGAAATATAACATATGCGAGCTAAACATCATTATTAGAATTTTCAACAACAATTATAAATAATTTCAGCTATTTCCTCAATTATAGGCATTCCTTGGAACATATTTGTACAAAAGATAAACATTTAACAACTATACTAACTAGGTGAGATTGGTAACGACTAGGAATGTACATTAAAGCCTTGATCAAAAGACTCAAAAAGCTCAATCGCTGAAATCTTTCTCAATTCTTCTAAACTCCTCGATTATTTTAATTTTTACATAAAACTCAATAGGAAAGTCATTTTCAAGTGGTTAAGAAGTGAGAGAAGATTAAGTTTTACAATTGCAATGTATTAAACAATGCAAGCAGATATGAACCGTCAGCCCAAGTCTGGAGCCCGGTAAGTATACCTGCCTCTTCGCTCACCATCCACGCCTGTTTCCTCTACGCTTTCCCCAATGCTTTCTATTAGTGACCCTTCAATCATATCTGGCAGCTGAGACATCCGTGATCTTAGTAAATATGCGTATGTCTTGTATCGCTTTATCTATCAACAGATCAACAAATTAGATAAATACACTAATGTACTAAAATTTACAGAAATATAGAATATTCAGATAAATTAAAAAAAAATTGGTTTTATATATTTTAATTTAAGGTGAAATTATGATTCATAATAAAAGGTTTTGGCTATAGATACCTTAGTGAGTTCAGAAATGGTTGACAAAATAGAGCCAAAACCTTTTATTAATCATCAATTAGGTTCCAGAATAATTACTGTCCTCATTATTAACATAATACAAAAATTTGCAAGTAAATCTTCCAAATTTTCAAGGGAATTTTTAATTAATAAATAAAATTAATAATTTCAAGGAAATAACTTTATTGAACCCTTTCACTTTTTCTCCATTCTTCAATTAATTTTTATTTTTTTCGACGACGTGTCAAACAATTTTGCCCATTTTCAAGTCGAAATATTTATATAATTATCTTATCCTTTATGTAATATTATATTTTATACAATTGCTATAAAATCTTTCTTCATTCTTATAATATTAATTTCATAACTATTTATGAAAAGACAAATTCTTTGAACACGTCACACAAAATTAAACATTTTTTTAAAAATTTCCATCAAATGCTATACATTTTCGTCCTATATATATAATAGCCTTATGTTCACTGTGAGCTATGGACTTACAAATTAATATTTTTTAAAAAAAAAATTTACACAATTTTTTTTAAAAAATGTTTAATTTTGTGTGACGCCTCCAAAGAATTGACTTTTCATAAATAGTTATGAAATTACTATTAGAAGAATGTGAAGATAAGAATGAAGAATTAATAACAATTATATAAAAAATAATATTACATAGAAGATTAGATAATGGTATGAATATTTTGACTTGAAAATGAGCAAAATTGCCTGAAACATTGTTGAAAAAAATAAAAATGAATTGAAGAATGTAGAGGAAGTGAAAGGGTTCAATAAAGTTATTTCCTCGAACTTATTAATTTTATTAAAAATTTGCAATTGGTTCCTCACTGCTATTAACAAATTGGTAATATTATCAAAGAGACATTAATTGTCAATTACATTTCATAACTATTGAAATTTATAAATTCATTTACAGGATACCAAGTACAGTCGACTCTCGATAATTCAAATTCAAAGGGACTACTAGAAAAATTTGAATTATTGAGATTTCGAATTATTAAGAAGTAAGAAAAAGATTTCGAATTATTAAGTTTTTATTATATTTTTGAAAACACATAAGTAAGAACTTACATAAATTTTATATATACATAACCTCAAGTAAAAATAATAAAAACAACAAGAAATTACATAATAAGTCTACGGAGGAATATTGAATGTTTTAGTGATATCTTTTTTTTTAACAACTATCTACGGCAGTGATAATTTTTTTTTTATGAACACAGTAAAGAAGATGTATGTACTTCTGCTTTGCATTTATCGTAACAAAATAAATAAAATTGAGAAGTTAAGCTGGGCTGAAAGGAAGTAAACATTAGGCGGAAAATGTGGAGTAAACTTTTCTCAGAAAAATTCTGATTATAAAGAGGGGAAGTGGCCTAGTTCGATTTATAGAACGTTCTCAATCTCTCTGATAAGGAAAGAAAAACTCGAGTTATCGGGCGCTTCATATACAGCATTTCTTCAATTTATCAAAGTGAACAGCTTTAGAGTTTGAATTATCAAAAACTTCGAATTAACGAGAGTAGACTGTAAATACGTTGAATAAAAAAATAAAAGTCATTGTAATAAGTCGCTGAAAAACTGTTTGAAAGGTTGTTCCATTTAAAATAACTTCAATTAATTTTATAATAATTTAAAAAAAAAAAGAATAAATATTAGAATCTGAATAAAATTAGTTTACCTCATATTGTAGATAATTATCTTTTTCCCTAAAATTGTAAAGAGCTAACTGCTTGGCACCTCTTTCAGGAGGATGCCGCCTGTGTGTTTCAAGTTCACTTTCTAACTTTTGAACCATGATATCATGATCACGAAGTTGCTCTCTCTGCAAAAAATATATCATTTTTTTTATCATACAAATGATGGATATCAACTCTTTAAAGATGTTTAGGTCACAAATGATAAACTGAAAAATCCCAATTTACGAATAGCAAATATGTTAATTAGTTAAAAATAATTATTGATAACTTACAAGATTCATTTTTGTATGACTTGAAGGAAGAAGAGGTCTTTGGAACTTCTTCTGAGAACCGACGGCACCTGGCAATGGTTGCGCAGAAAAGCTGGCACATACAAAATTTATTGTATCTATCCACGACTGAAGTTCCTTCGAATCGCTAAAACATTAGGAAGAAATTGATCATTAAGAAAGAAACAATAATAATGCAATATCCTAAAGGTGATTATCTTCCAAAGCTAAAACTACAAAATTTGGTCATTAGCAAAATTTTGTAATTAATAGAATCGATCAGAAAGATTTCTTTCTCAATTTTGGTTTAGACTGTTAGTGCAATAGTCCGTAGGAAACAATTTTAATTCTATTTGTGCTAAAGATAACGTTTTAGTCTGCAACAACGGTAAGTAGTTTGTTACTATGAAAAATAGCAAAGAAAAATTAAATATGAAATTATATTGATCAATCATAAAGAAATAATCTGTTTTATACTCTACTGTAAAAAAAACTCAATCTTTACTTATACAACCTTTTGCATTAAGAATAGTGATATAAAATCATATGAACTTACTAAATAATTTCCTTTAATTTTGTCGTAAGTGAAGACACATGTGAATGCAGGTGTTATGTAACAAATAAAGATTTTTTTAAAAAAATAACTTGTAAAGACATAATCTTTCCAATACACTGAGAAATCATTTCATTAACCAAGAATCTCAGGTTGTTATTACAAGGTCTCACACATTCATTCATAAGAAGAATTAATAACTAAAAATATTTGTTACATGCACCATCATCCTCATATCAGTTGTGTTTTCAAATATTTATATTTTCGGGAAAGTTAGGTACATACATAAATTATAAATGTTTTAAGGGGAACACTTTAGCTAAGTTTCATTGAAATTGTTGAAGACGTATTGGCACTACAGTCTAAAGCGAATCACTTTTTTCAGCCACCATTTCGAATAGGCCTGATGATAATGAAACATATAAAAAAATACTTCTAAATATTATTGCAACGTTGTGTCAAAATTTGAAAGAAATCAGTGAAGAACTTTCGGAGATAAGACGTTTTGAACAAACTCTCATTTATATTTTTATTTACATACTATTTTATATTTTTATTTATAATGATAACACTAAAGCCTGTCAATAACTATTAAACAAAAAAAGAAGGAAGAAATGGTTGAATAATAGAGGAGTAAAAGGGGCTGAACCGATTTATGTTTGCCTATTTATATAATGATGATTCTATCAGTTTGAATATATTTATTTATTACTTTTATTATCAATAATTATTTAGTTATGAGAAACAGCTTTTCCTCTGGGCTTAAATAATGGTAAATAAGCTGATGAGGATTTCATTTAAAAAGAAACTTAAGACATTTTTTTATACTTGTATAATTAAAAAAATTGTTGATTAAACTTGAAAATGATTGTTAAGAACAAGAGTTGGAGACTTGCAATAAAAGACCTTAAATACAACAAGTGAAACGTTTAATCTAACATCCTAAAAAGAAAGATTTTCTTATAGGTTTTAAGAGAAAAAAAAAAAAAATGAATTGAACTTTATTTATTTCATGTTTTTAAAAGCGTAAGTCAAATTTAAATCACTTAGGTAATGATAGTTTAACAAACCTTGTCTGAAACAGGTAAACAGCTTGATCAGCAGTTTCGAGTCTGAAAACGTGGAGTTTTTTAGTGTAGTCTGTAGCTTTTGTAGCCAGAGAATGGTGTATTCTTATGGCATTGTGAAGATTGTCGCTAAGTTGAGTTTTACGAAACCCATGCTCATCCTTGTGAAGATAGAGAACAAGATCCCGAAGCGTACAATAGTACATTTTCCAACCTCTTTTCCCAAGAGGTGCTGAAAAAAAAAACTTATAATTATACAAATGTAAAGTGTAACAAAAATATATATAAGCATTCCATTTTCAACCGAAGATTTAGAACTTATATACTTCACAAAAATATTAAAATAATATAATTATTTAATAAAAAGGCAGATGATAATAAGAGACATCATTCAATCTTATTTTATGAATATGTTGAAAAAAATTCACTTATGAATGACATTGAATAATATCTGATGGAAACTAATCAGTAATACCATAAAAGAGCCCATTAAACAATAGGTTAATCTCTGTCCTTTTATAGTGCTCATAGTTAACTTTTTAATATTGTATAGCATATACTTTCATAATGCTGGCTGGCTTTATTATCCTATATATTATTTCTAAAAGGTGTTCTTTTGTTGGTACGCCATAACTTCGTCAATTCTTCATCAAATCCAATGATTGACCACTCATTTTGAAGATATTCTTCTCCTTCAAAAATAGTCCTATCCCCCCGAAATTTCTGGGAAAAAGTTATGAAGGAAAAGAAACTTTATTTGCGAATAACTAAAAAATTATGCATTTTTTTTTCTTGATTGTACCTATGATAATTAGAAAGATTACAAAATTACCTAATAAACAAAAACGAATTGTAAAAATCGGACAATTGTTAACAAATATACAGTCCATTAATTTTGGTATACTTAATAATTTCTTCGAAGAGAAGGTTGGTTGGGATGATCAGTCAAAATAAAAAATAGTAAAAATAAATATAATTACATTTATTTTTATCTTAAGTAAATGAAACTTAATCTAAATAGAAAAATAAATACTAAAAAATAAAATAAATTATTTAGTTTTTATTCCTTCTAAAATGATTGAATAATGTAAAAACATTGGACAGAAAATTATCAAACTTAGGACAAAATCAATTTAAAGTTGAAAAATAATGAAAAGACAGTAATAAATTAAAAATAAATATAATTATTTATTTTTTAATTTGGCTGATCACCCCAGCCATCCTTCTCTTCAATTATTCACTACAGTCAACCATCAAACCACAATTAATAATTTCTTTCCCTTTAAAGATATTGCATTTACTATTCTACTACACTTTTATTCTGGCTAATGTATTAACTTTATTATTTCTTAAAGGCATTTGTTTGTTCTTACACTGCATTTTTTTTAATAATTTAGAAAATCCCATGATCAAGGCTTTATTATCTTTCCAATCAGCGTTTAAAAATAGGTCCTAGCAAAGCAATTCGTACATATATTTTGGTCTATTATCAATTGGTCAAATTTAAAGTGCCTAAAATACACTTTGAGGTAACTTTATCGTTCCAATTCTCAACAGAAATGGCAGAATGTACAATGTGATAAATGTAATAGGCCAATGATTTAATCCTCATTCCTTCGGGATTTGATTTATGATTTATTCCTCATATATAATTCAGAATGAATAATATTTCTACATAATATTAAAAATAATAAAAAAAAAAAAAATCATAATTATTACTTTTTTTGCCATTTGGTTCAACACAACACTTTCTCATGACGTAACCCTTTTTATATTCGATTGCGGGGGCTGAAGAAGGTACATCAAACAATCCTTTAGCGGTCTGGACAATAGTATTTCCTGTTTGATTTTCAGGCCCAGGTTTGACAGATGGTTGTTCATCAGTTTCACTATCTCTGTTAAATAGAAAACAATAAACATTAAATAAACTTATAAAAAATATAAAATAACTATATTTTTCAAATTAGATACAGTTGATTATTACTTACACAGCCCATTCTAAAGGATAGTTTTTGATTGATTGATAAAGATTTTTCAATATCTCTCGAGGAAAATTTTCACCATCGTTCAATTCTGCTAAGTTATCGATGAATTCGTTACATGTCATTTTACGACCAATTGTTTGACCGTGCAAGTCTGTATTGAGCAACATTATGGCACATGTTAAAGTATGCACAGCATCTGTGAATATCAAAAATAATAATTAACATTTATCCTTCGATACTATCTAACTGTTAAGATAACTTTAATTCTAAGGAATTTCCTAAAGAATTTAAGATAGGAGAAATGGGTGGTTAAAGTGCTAACAAACTAAATTTTTAAAATTTTGTTTTATTATTATTGTAAACCAGGAAATTACAAAATGCTTCCTATCCTACCAATATTGATAATATTGCCCTACTGCTATTTGATATGTTTTGATGTGAAAACAAAAATGATCCTATTGACAACTCTAAAATTTAGATATTGCGTCTGATTAAGTCATGTTTTAAAGTTGAGCATTTTGTTTGTTTAAAAAAAAAATTGTAGCACAGCTATGCTTTTTCAAAGTGGTGATTATGATAGAAGCTTTACTCAGTTATGGTCTCTGGGCATAACAAAACAAGTCGAAAAATGGTCCTCAAGACTTCTGTGAATTGAGACCATCTTCCAAGCCTTCTAAACACCAAGAAGACGTTAGTAAATTCACTGTTCTCGTCTAGATCTCTAAACTTTTAGTACTGTGTTACTAACTTCTTCACGTTGTTTAAAAGGCTTGAGAGGTGATCTCAATTAACAGAATTCGTGAGAACCATTTTTCGACTTGCCTTGTTATACCTAGATACTGCAGATGAAGATGAATAAACCAAATAAAAATTTTAATTAAATATTTTTTATATCTGTCCACCAACTTGACTATTTTGACTTATTTTATATTTATTCAATATTGAAATTAAGTATTGTTGCCATGGTACACCCAACATATGCTTACGACACCCAGTTTGAGAACTCCTGTACTTTATATAATAACACTTTAGAAAGTTAGCATAGAGGAGTTTATTCAAAATTCATGGTGATTCTTAATCCAAATAAAACATTTGATGTTTACCACAAGTTGTATGAACCACCCTTGGATCAAATAGCAGCAAAGAAATCCTTATCAATAAGTGATTATATGTTTGGAATATTGAAGCTTGGGCATTAATATTGTTTTATTGGAAATAAAAACTTAATAACAAAACTAACCTTGAGAGCTGAAAACCGCTGGATTACAGTCGAGATATCGCTTGCTAAAATGGACTAGAACTCTTTCCCTTTCCTGGGTTTCTCCAGTTAAACAGAACTGCGTTAGGAACTTCCTCAGCGCAGCATCCAGCGTATCACCACTAAATGTAAAGTACTTCAGGTACTCTTCCGCTACAGCTCGACTGAAGTCATTACTGATTAAAAAATTTAGTTAAACACAATATCATATACAAATGATTAGTTATTCATTGAGGAATACATTGAACTATTAAAAATGTATTTGGAATAAATATCATTTCACAAGAAATGAACGTCTCAGAGGTACAGAAGTTTGTTTTTAGGTACATGTTCCAGAGATTTTCTAAAGGAATTAGATGGAAAACTGAGGCAATCCAGTATAATTGATAAAACTTGATATCAGTGGGCTTCAAGAGCAAATCATGAAAGCAATAGTCTGATTTGGAACAATTTTATAATTAAAATTAAATTTAACTGATGATTCCAAATATCTCTGAAAGGGGGGCAGATGATAAAACTTTGTGTTACACTGAATATCTTTAATTAAAATTTCTAATTTTATAAAAAGTTTTAAATAAAAGTAAAGGTTGATTACAAAAATAAAAACACATAATAATACACACTTTTTACTGAGGTGACGCGAAACATCAGATTTCTTGAAACCATCCAATGTGTACAATCTTTTAGCAAGCCTTACTGCAGAAGGAATGTCCACCGCCTTTGGGCTGTAATGATAGCTGTGCAGAGAATCGACATCGCTTTCTTCTTCTGGCGGGGAAATAGATTTTGCCAAGTTAGCTGCTCCTTCTGTTAGGTGCATTAAGCTTTCATCGTCAACATCCTCAAGAGCCTGTAATTGATAATGATAATAATTTATTATGTTCTAAAATTAAATCTGTAATAAACAACTAATAATGCTATGGGTGTTTGTTAATTTATCTATTTATTGATGCAAATATGATATATTGTTTTATTCTTCAATACATCTAACTTAGACATAATAACCAGCTCTAAATAAATGGAATTTTCAAAGGAAATAATTTATGACAAGCTATTACCACTTAACCCATCTGCTTCTCAGTTTTTGCCTGTTTGTTCAGAACTTACAGTTATTGTTTAGTTAGCTTATGTTAAAATATGTAAATTTTTTTATTTTTTATTTCTTAATGACATTTGCAACTGTATTACATAAATACATCAAGTAAATTTGGACATAATAGATATAATGACATGAATACACTTGCTGAGTAACTACCCAATGGTAGCACTCTAAAAAATATGTAAATAAGATGGCATAAAGTTATTTTACACTTTCTTTCTTCTTTAAACAGAACTCTCTCTGCTAAAACTTATTTTATATAAAAGTTTTAAGGTGAGTTTAGATATTTCACAAAATATGGTAAGTACAAATATCTAAATGGTTGTTTCCCAAGTGTTCATGTTTATTGCTTTTAATGTTTTCCATCTGCTTTCGATAACAACAGATATAAAAAAAAAGTTTGGCTTAGCAATAATGTCGCTGTTAGTCAAGTTAGATAATTGTGTTTCCCGTAGTTTGTGAAATGTCTAAATGCACCTTTATATTAAATTATTTATAAGAAATAAGACCTTTTATTGTATGGAATTCTCAAAGAAACATCAAAACCTTGAAAGCTCAAATTAATTGTTTTAAAAGAAGAACTTCAAAATACAAGTCCCTCAAAGAAATAATAATTTTATTAGTACAGTTATTAATGGTTAATCAATATTTTTATAGAATAAAATTCTTTATTTTTTTTCTATTAGCCTTCTATAATGAAAACAGTAACCCACAAATGTTAGCTTTCTAATCTGATCTCTGAACCCAGAAAAATAGGATTTTCAATTTCTATTAGAAATAAATTTCAAAATTCTGTTATTTATCTTATGCATTTGTTATTTATCTTATGTTCTAATGCATGGACACAGGGACATAATCCAAGGAGACAAAAAAACAAAAAAAAAACAATAGTAATTCAAGATTCAAGCAGGTCTTCAGCAAGAAGATGAAATTATTTAGTTGTTTGGAAAACAGTTAAACTTCTCCACAACGGATAAGCTCAGATTTGTCGTAATTGTCCAATGGGAAGTGATATTTGCTTATTAAAAAAATGAACATATAGAAACATGTTTAGAAATAATATTAATAATTATTTGTCCTATTTATAAATATATTTAAAGAACAGGAAATAGCTTTGGAGAACGAAAGGTATAAACAACATAATTACTAACATATTTAACCAATTAGAAAAGAGACATGTAAATAACAAACTCAGATATTCTTTGTTTGTTTCCTTTTCTTCTTATTTACAATTAGTTAACTTAAGCACAGAAAACTTTTATTTTTATTCAAATGTAATGCTTCCATTTTTCTTTCATTGTAAGAAATTTAGGTGGTGCCGTTTTTAATGTTTAAAGTTGAAAGAATGAAAACAATTGAAGCATTTAAAGTAAAATATGCTGAGCACGAGAGAAAGGATTTCTAAGAAAACTGCAGAAAGGCGAGAAGAACAAAACACCATGAAAAATAAAAGAAATTCTATTCAAAGGGTAGTTGACAATTAAGACCTCACAACAAACCTTTACTACCACAAAAATATTATACAAAGTAATGTGGATATATATTAAAAGTTAACTTTACAGATTTATACATATGTGTGTGTGTATAAAACATATTCCATATGCATATACAATGTCTGTCGAAAGGGGGATATGAAGTCCTTTATTTCTAGGCTGTGGAGTTTAAAAATTTTCTTTAAGGAGGCATTTCTGTAATGGAGAAGTTTCACTGAACTTAAATTTTCTGCACTTATCATATATTTGAGAAACAAAACATTTTAATTAACTAAAATATTAACCTTTTTTGTAATAAAATGATCAATATTAATTTAAAATTGTAGTTAAAATAAATCGGGGCAAAAGCAAAAGTTTGTAATAAGAATAACTTTTTACAACACAAGTATTACACTGTAATTTCTTACAGAGAAGCAAAAGTAAACGTTCATGTAACAAACCTCGTATCCAATCGGATGATCCCCTTGATATAAGTCACAATCCCTGGAATTTGGTCGCGAATACCTTCTCGGGCTACTTGATCTATTACTAAGATTGTCGTTATGTTTATCAGGACCTTTAACCTGTAAATGAAACAAAACTTGAAATTTTCATCTGTTTTATAAATTATAAAAAAATAATAATTTCTTCCATTCACTACAATTGATGAAATTAATTAAGAAAATAAAATTGTATTGATGATATTTATTATTTCCTCTGATTAAAATTTTTATTAAATAACTGAAATACAAGTGAACTTTATACTTTAATAAAATTTAAGTTGATATAGATGAACTATTTTACAAATTAGTCAACAATTATTTTTATATCAGAACCACCAACATCTTTAAAACATGATGAAATAAAACCACTGCATTATAGTCAAAATCTAAATAAAATATTGTTCTCAATTTATTTTATTTTTAACACGTCAACATTGATAGTTTTTGCCATGAAACAGCGTTTTTCTATGACAAAGTACTATCAGTGGCCCTTATTATTTTTAATTCTTCTTTTCAGTCAGACTGTACAAGTTTTAGGCTTCGAAATATAACTTAATTTAATTTAAAATGAATATATTTAGTTAATGTCTTGTATTAGAGCTATTTCATCACTGTCAATAGTAGAAGAGCAACCTGACATCTAATAAATCCACACTTCCGGTATTAGCGTGAACACTTAGGTCCTATCCCCTTTCCAGAAATTACCCTATAAATAAAAACTAAAGCACATATTATCCTCAAACTGTTTGACTTTGCCTTTTAATCTACCTAAAGCGGTGGTTTAAACATTTAAAAACACCAGAACCAGGGTGCATAAACATTCCTGTATTACCAGAAAAACCATGGGGAGTCATATTTGCCCTGATCAATTATAATTTTAAAAAGAAACCAGAGGGAGCAAAAGAAAGTGAAAGCAAGAATAAAATTCTTTATGGAGATGGAAAATGAAAAAAAAAAATCATTTAAATTGCACCAGGAACCATTAAATTCAACATCTCTGAGAGCAACACAGCCAGTAAACAAACATCTAAAAGCGACACAATCACTTACCCAAACTCCCTTTGATTTTTCCTGGAAAAACCAACAGCAAATGAAACATGCACAAACAAGAAACAAAAACATTTGTTTAGGGAAACAACCGATTTAGATATTTGTGTTTCCCATGGTTTGTGAAATTTGTAAACATACCTTAATGTTATCATCTAAATCAGGTCCAAACTATGGCCCGTGAAAGTTCCTTTGATTACATGGTAAAATGTTGAAACTATTTAAAAAATATGAAATTAAGTAAATCACTAAACCAAGAGATCTCAACAACATTTATTTGTGTTTTTTAAAACGAGAAAGCTGATTTCATAGCTGAAGGGTTATTTATTTATCACAAGCATGGCCCAGGTGACTAAGTGAAGAAGTTTAGAGACTCCTGATCTACATGATCACTGCCAACTAAATCAACAACACCCCATATAAATCAGAAATCATTTAACATATAATAAAACATATTCACTTTAAATAATAAATACATTTTTTTTATTCATATGTAAGATGATCAGTTTTAAAAAGAAAATAATAAGTTGTACAATATCAAGGTAGAGAGGAACTTAAGTCTTTCTGCATAGGAAAGAAATCCCTAACAGCTTATATTCAAATCAGAAAGAAATCTACCTTTTCTCGCTCTTTTTTTTTTTTCATAGTATGAAAATTAATAATGGCTTCTTGAACAGAGAAATTCTTCCACAAATGATTATATTATTTATCTTGAACAATAATATACAAAATCTTATTGTATAGATGGAAAATGCTCTTATTAAAATAACTATATATCTTCAGAACCATAATTACTCAGTTATTATCACGAGATTGAGATGAACTCATCACATTATTGATTTCTATAGATAAGAACCTTGTAATTTCTTAAATCGAAACCAAAATTTGATTGGTTCGATGGCCGATGTGTTACCCTCTTCAAACGATTTGTAAAGGAGTTTAATGCAAAAAATATGAATTAATTGCTCATTCATTTAAGAAGGGAATCCCGAGATAAATATAAAATGAGAAATTTGTTCTACATTTCTTTCTACCAATAATCACTAAACTAATAAAAAAAAAAAAGAAATGATGCCGAACTACCAAATGTAATATATAAACTAGCCTGTATGACGATCCTATGGTCTCCGTCTTTGGCTGAGATCCCATTATTTCTTCTCGACTTGTTCGTTTCACTAACGAGTAGAGTAGAGTCACTGTCACTTGGATCGCTCACCTCCATAACTAGATCCCTCGCGATGATTTCGGAATCCTCTTCCTGAAAATCTGGTGAACTAATATTTGATACAGCTTCCGATTGCGACAGATCGCCACCAGCTGGAGCAGCAGTTGTAGTAGTAGGAGCTAGTCGAGCCTTGTCAGAATCAGATGAATTAGATGACATTACAGAACTAGACACAGAAGTTGGTGAAGCTGGAGATCCAGATCTTCTAGGAGATGCGTTATCAGATGACGATGTGGTTTGGGATGAAGAGGAATCAGAAAGTGGTGCATTGTAGGTCCATACAATCCGTTGGTCTTCTCCTTCACTCTCCTGCCTGGAAAAATTAAACAATATCATCAGCGTAAAAATAAGTATCTCAACATAATTATTAAAGTTAAAGGCTAAGAACATGTTTTCAAACTTAAATTCAAATAATAAAAATATATATTATTTTATATAGTCATAAAATAAATTTAATAAGATGTGAAAACTTTGTAATGTTGTACAAAAAAGAATTAAATATACATCGTTTAGATGAAGCCCAAAGCTAAATTATGTTCAACTAAGCCTAATTACATAGAGATTATCTACCAGTAACAAAACAAGAATTGAGAATAATAAAGTAATCTGAATTAGTGATCATTTCTAATAATTTTTTTTTATATAAATAAAGTATAAATAACCTTGTATCTAAGAGAGTATTGAGTGATGAGGTAACATCGTCATCAATATCTATTGAAACAGTCGATACAGAATCCTTATTGAATTGAAGGTGATCTTCAGACTTCGATGTTCTGACAACATAAGATGAAGATGCTGGGGTTGGTGATGTTCCAGCAGAATTTGTTTTACCTCTCGCTTCTCTTTCGGTCTCGATAGGGCTTGTAGGAACTGAATTGTGCTTCTCGTGACTATGGTGATGGCGGTTATTGTAGTTGTGCATATTATTACGCAAAGAATCTACTTTGCGTTGTTGCTTAGGAAGAACAGATCCTAAAAATTATAATTTCCATTGTAACTTTACCAAAAACTATAAATTAAAACAATTCTATTTTTCTTAAAACCTAACATTTAATATCATAATAATAAAAATGTGAGATGTATTAATTACCTAACATGGGCTGTGTAATAATAATAATTAATAAATATTTACAAAATAAATAAAATTTATTAAGATAAGTTAAGATAATTGAACAACCAATAGACTATTAACTACCTTGTTGAGTTCGACAGATCTTTAAAACGCGATCTCCAGTCATGACAAAAGCTTCAAACTTGGGTTGGCCTGATTTTTCGCCATTTGTCCGAGTTACATCCTCAAGTGGTAAGGGATGAACAGGAGGCGGGGGTTCAGATATATCAACGTTCTCAGAAATTAGTTCAGGCAAATTCATATCCCCCCTGTATTCCAGGGGGGTAGACAAGTAACGTCTTACCCTTGCTTTTACAACAGGATCTGAAAAAGAAAAAAAAATTATATAAACAAATAGAGATTACAAAGCGTAAGTGTTTCTGTATTAAGAATAATATAAATAACACATATAAATCATTTATGAGGCCTTTTTAAAAAAACAATTCAACAAAAAAAGTTTTAAATTTGAGGAACAATGTTGGATTTGTTAGGAACTGGAGGGAACAAAATTCTTTCCAAAAAATATGTTAAATTAAATATAAAGTACAAGTCGTGAGGTTTTGATTTTTGACAGATATCAAAATAATTTTCAGTACATATAATTATTTATTTAACTCATTTATATAATATTTGTTATGTACCTTAAATGTAACTCAGTTTATCAGAACAACCGTTTGGCATTAGAACAAAAATGCCTGGGTACAATAGGTATTTAGAACCTTTCCACCTAAAAATGCAAAACAACTAATATTAACACTAGTAAGAAGAATGAGAACCAATTCACTAAATAGCAACATATTACCAATATCCATTAATTCTTTTCAAATTAACGATTTTAAACATATAATTATTATATTAAATTTTCAATAAAGAAACATACATTCAAATTCATGTTTCATCGGTCATCGCCCAAAGCACAAGGAAAATTTTAAAAATTGTCTTATACATAAATCAGAAATTTTTCATGTAACAAGTAACATCATCTTACTGATTTAAAATGCAATTTTTACTTGGTTAATCACCCAATAACTTATTTTTTTATTAATATTTTGTTTGCTATAAATAATATTATTGAAATGAACATCATTGAAAAAATAAGATCGAAAATAGTCCAAAAAACCTAGCTGTCAAACATGAAAAAAAAGGAGACAAAAGCTATAATAAACATATAATTAAAAGTTTTAACAAAAAGTCTGGAGCATTTCAAATAGCAATATCTAACAAACCGATCAACATTTCATTAATTTATGCACCGTCAGGATTGAAGAACATAATCTTACATAAACATAGACATGATACCACATCTTGCAAGAACAGTCTAAAAAAAAGCAGCCGACTAGAAATATTACATCGTCTCAAAACAGTCCAAAGCATATCAATATTTAATAACATTTTAAGATAATTAATATAATTTGGAAAAATTAAATTTTTCTATATGATGAAATAATTAAGGACATTCTTGGGTCTTGATCTTACTACAATAAACAATTGATTTGCCTCAAAAATTAAAAATATGCAATATTTTATTCCTGACACTGTAAATAGAAAGGAATGCATATTATATCTTAATTAGAAACTTCAGAAAATATAATATGTAACCACAAATATTTAAAAAAAATAAAAGTAACACAACTCACGTTGTTGTTTATGTATATATAGTACTTTTTGCATATTGATTCCTATGCCAGTTGAATTCAACTTCTACAAATAAAATATTTCTAGATATATCCAAAGTACTTAATTAGTGGTGGTTACCATAACGTACTGAGCACTTTTTCAAATTAAAATAAACTTTATATATATTCCAATAAAAAAAAACAAATAAATTAGTCATAGTGCTTCATAAAATAAGGAAATTATCAGTGTTGCAGTTGTTGAGTGCTCAATGATATACACTGTTCCCGTTCACTACAAACATGTCATTTCCTGTCAAATTTTCCTGATTCATTTTTATAACAATGTTGACTCAATGATATTACCCACACAATTTTCCAATGAGAAGGAATTGTAAAAAAACAGCTTGACTCCATTCAATTTTGCATAATATAATATAATCATGATTATAATATAATATAAAATATGAATTAATATGAGATAGGGGAACAAGAGGGTCAATCAACACGCTCGTACAAATAGCCATCAAGCAATAGGTAAGTAAACAAAAACAGAGGAACAAAGGTTAATCAAACACTTGAAGAGAAAGAGCAAACTCAGACCAGATACAGTCAAGTGAAATTCGGTAAACTTTTGAGTAGTTTCTCATGTGCTGCTCGGAGTGATTGAATTCACATTTAATTCGAATATATATATATATATCTTTGAAACGGTATACACACAGACGGACTAAACACATACTACTAAATGTCTAAATCAATCTGTTTATTTATAAAAATTTAACAGTTTCTAATCTATAATCAAACAACTATATATATATATATATATATAGTTGATATACTATATATATATATAGTATATATATATATATATATACTATATATATATATATAGTTTCCTTTTGTAGATAAATTATATTTAGTTTTTCTTGCACTTTTAATGATTGTAATCTAGTTTTTCAATTATATCTTATGTAGGTTTTTTATGAGGTTTTTCCTACTGCACAAAAATGAATTTCAATTTTCTAAATAGCATACAAACCACTAGTATGTCATGTGTAAGGTTACTGCAACCACAAACATGTAATTTATCTTTATGGCATGATGTAATGTATGTATGTGTATATATATATATATATATATATATACAAAAATGACTGTGCAATTTTATTATTTTAATTGATATGGTCACCAAGTTATAAGTTATAAGTAAGTTACCAAGTTATAAGTAAAGAATGTGAAAATTGCTGCTTTTCATGATACTAAAAAATAACTTCACATTTTTTATTTTTAACTTCCCCCATTGCAAATAATATTTTTATAATCAGACATTTAACTTCTCTGGTCCTAAATTTAAGTAATTAATTCTCAATATGCGAAATTCTTTATTTTCCTATTGAAAAGTTGTAGCGACAATATTTTGGCTATTATTTTTCATTAGTTAAATTAATTTATTTATTTTTCAAAAACTGATTGTTATTTTTTCCCTTATTTTTCTGTAATAATGTGTAAATAAAATTTTCTAAACAATTAAGAAATCAGATATTGGTGTTATTTTTTCATATATTTAACCCAGAATTTTCCGATCACAAAATTAAGGAACTACCAGGTTTATTTACTTACACATACAGATACCATTTAAGTTTCTTTTTTTAATTATTTGGCTGTTTTCTCTCTTTTTATTTATTTTTTTTAAATTGGTGTTATACACTTATTACTATTATGAAAGGATTACTATTATTAATTATGTGTTTAATACCCTCAATCTGCAATGAGCAAGCAAAAGTACTTATGAGTCAATCTCACAGGGAATAGGCAACAATATCTCTAATACCAAGGTTTTTTCTAGAAACTTTGTGTGTTCTTCATGACTCTGAACTAAATACTATGTTCTCTTATGTTTAAAAAAAAGAATAGTGACAAATGGAACAAAAATGACTCAGAATTAGGTGATGAAGACAGCGCTATTTTTAAAAAAAATTATTTGATCTTAGGATGTCATAAAACGTCTAAATAAAGAAAGAAGTTGTTGGTTGATTACCTCAGTTTCTTAACATCAGTTAGTTGAGAAAAGAACTTACTCTATTGGATAAAGATAAGGAAGTTTAAAAATTGGTCATCAGAATAGCTGAGGCCAAAACAGAAAAAAGTATATAAAAAAGATGAATAAGGGTATATGCTACTTATATAACAATATATACAAAGTTCAAATTTGGGTTCAAGCAAGTTTAAGACCAGACATAACAGATTTAATTAAATACATTCATTACATAAACGAAGATACTACTGGACATTCTTAACGAACAATAAAGAAAACAAAATATTAAAAATTCATGCAAGTTACCTGAGTCTAATGAACGAACAATGAAATCGTCAGGCTTTCATTAGATTTATAAAATAGAAATATTTTCATTTTCAAAAGACCAATGATTAAATAAATAACATATAATTTAAAAAAAACATAAATGTGATTGCACTTAAATAATGATAATAAAGGCCCAGTAAACTGCTGTCTACATACTTTCATCCACCAACCCCCCCCTCTCCTGATCAACCTTAGAGCAATCCTCTCATTTTAACTTTGATCGATCCCTCGGACACTAGCAAGTCAGTATAGCATTTATTAACCTTTGATAGATTCTTTCCTTACTGAACCCATCAATTATACAGGCCCATTTTATTCATCAAAATGTAATTACCCTAATTATATTTGCCAGGTTGTTCATCCAGCAATTGAGCCTTGTTTAACCATCTAAATTGATTGACTAAACTTTCTTTTGTCAAAATATTCTATGCAATACTTAATTTTCAAAAATATTAAGATAATTATTATTAATTTGCTCTACAGTCCTTAATGGACCTGGACCACAGAAACAAGCTTCCCTATCGGCAGCTATTCTTCACCATCATCTGATACCCATGCGGCTGAGGTCCTCCTCCACGTCGTTGATCCATCCCACAGCCGGGATCTTCCCTTAAGATTTGCTCCTCCTGGGTGGTTATAGAGAAGTTTCCTAGGCAACCTATTCTCCTCCATTCTCTCTACATGGCCTAGCCTTAAAGCCAGCACCTTTTGGCAATGGCTATAATATCATCACTTTTATACAGCTCATAGAGCTCGTAATTTTTCCTTATTCGCCACTGACCATTTATTTTCTTCGGACCATATATTTTCCTTAGACTTATATTTTCTTTAGGAAGATAATAGTATTACTAATTCTAATTCTTAAGAATTCCAACAGGAGACATGTGCTGAATGATTTTGCAACAAAAAGAAAACAAGCATTTCCTGCCTTTAATCTAGCTTTTATTTTCTCTTTGATTGCACTTAAAAGAACTTAGAAAAAAAAATGTAGTGTTTTTCTTTATATTGAACATAAACACACTAAACAAATTTGGTTTTATTATTTGTTTTCTCCCACATTTAAAAAACTCATAAATTGTCTTTTAATTTTAGAATTTTTTAAAAAATCAATTCACTATGCTGTTCAGGATTTTTTTTTTATAATACACTAACATTGAATAGAAAATAGTTAAATAATTTGGCATTTCAATGCATATTTGGAATATTCCAGCTAACATTAAAGTTTTTTATCACATAATTGAGTTAAATTATTGTTTAAGAGTGATTCTCAAATAACAGACAACTTTCTGACATATTACTGTTAATCTGATTTAGATAAATTTTTCAGATATTGTGCGTGTTGGTACGTAGATAGTTGGTCCTGGTCCCTAACTCATTTCATCGATTTCCATCCATTACTTTCGGTAAAGCCATCACAAACATATTTTCCTCAACGCACCTGTATAGTGTGTCTAAGATAAGATTGCCTGTAGGGAAAGGGAGTTCACGCAGCCTTTCCGCTCTCAAGCTCAAACTCCACTCCTCTATATAACACTCACCTCATATCGAAACCCATTTTTCGATGTTTGATTTTCTTCTAAATTCTAATTTCGTTAAATAAATGAAAAAAAAAATGGTAAAAGATATTTCTACTAATAAAATTAATTTTAGAAGTACGTAGGAATAAGTAGAGGGAAGACAAAAGAGTGAGGGATCGGGGGAGAAAACGTTTTGCCACAGCACATCTCTGTCGCCCTTTACCCACAGGCAAACTTATCTTTGACGGACTCTACTATATCAAGGCTAATACAATTAGGTTAATAGTTGGAGAAAATCTTGCAATGTACATTATCAATTACAGGTATATTTATAACTCTTAACAAGATTATGATCGTTTTAAAAGTGCTATTCATTAAAAGACCTATAGTTAACTAGAATTGTTGTTTAATAGAATTCATTGAAAAAACTAACATTTTTGTTACTTTGTTTTATTCGTGGATTTCCAACAACCAATGGTACAATTACATTATCTATCAGTTGATCTGACCTTAATATAATGGTTGCAGAAATTTAATTACATTCAATAATTTCATTGTCATGGATGCAAAAATTTCCAATTTAAATAAGTTAGGTTTTTCATTTAAGTTTTGATTGATAATAGAATTCGCTTTAAGCTAATCTACAAACATAGAGAATTTTTTAGTTTATTTTTAGAGATGAGTTTTCTTGTTGAAAATCAGTATTGATCTAACTAGGAGTATAGTAATAAATATGACAGGGATTAGAAAACCCACAGAACAGATTTTTCAGAATCAGATATCTCAATTCTAGAGATTCATTCACTCCTGTAAATATTTATCAAGGTTATATAATAATTAATATACGAGGTGTGTAAATTAAGTAATGTCGTCCTTTGACGTGATTTTTCAACCTTGGGAACAGAAAAAAGTAACATTTGACTCGATTCGGGTGAATAAGGAGGCTCAGGAGTCACAGGAATGTTTTTACTGGGCATAAATTCATTTATAGAAATCGTGGTATGACAAGGAGCAATATGCAATATCCACATGTTTTTGATGTTTTGTCTCACACATTACCATTTTTTGAAGTCTCAAGAATTTCTTGGTAAAAATGTTGTTTTACAATTTCACCTAGAGGCACCAACTCTTTGTGAATGATTTCTTGGAAATCACAAAAGCAAATCATCATGCATTTGATTTTTGACTTGATTATTCTTCCTTTTTTTGGCTTTGGAGAATTCTTACTTTTTTTGGCCTTGAAAAATTCTTCCTTTTTGAAGTGTGCAGCTCCATGCTCTGGCGCTCTGTTTCCGGGTCATACTCAAACACACAAGATTTGTTGCCAGCAATAAAACATTCCAAAAAATGGAGTGGTTTTCAATTGCTTCAACTGCTTTTCAAAAAGTCAAGGGACCTTTCCTTTCTGATGTCTTTTTGCTGTTGTGAAAGATTTTTCAGAACAATTTTTGCACAGATTTTTCTCATCCCTAATTCATTGGTCAATATTTGATTAACGGTTGTGTAAGTCATATTCAACTCTTCATTGATCATTCGGACTATCAGACAACAATCTGAACGCAAGAGATTGCGGATTCTGCCAAAATTTTCATAGGTTGTTGAGGATGAAGGCATTCTCCTGCGAAGCTCGTCTCCAATCGATTCTATTCCTACTGAAAATGCCTTAAAGAACTAAGAACCTGAGTTCCCGACAAAACACTGTTTCTATAGTGCTGCCCAGTTTTTCAAATGTCTTCATTGCACTGTGTCCAAATCTGAAGCAGAATCTGATGGTACAACATTGTTCGAAATTGAAATCACTTATTTTTAGAACGCACTAAAAAAATCATTCTCACAAAAACATTCACTACAGACAGGGCAACAACGCAAGCGTGCTCAAACTTGTACTGAACGCATATCAGATATTTATCTGCCTACCCCTCCACACACCGCGTCCCCAGTGCTGCCAGATTGAACACTAGAAAATCAGTCTCATTAATTAATTTACACATCTCGTAATTTGTATTCATAATGTATAATGAATACAAAAAAAAAATTAGGATTGTTGAGAGGTAAGGAATTGAGGAAGTACCTTCAATGGTAGTTCAATTGATGGCAATAACAAGAGAATTGGAGGAATGGACAACAGAGGGATAAGTAGAGGTGTTGAAATAAAATTAGGAAGGGACAAATTGGAGGAGGGAGAAAAAAAAAAAATGATTTTGTGATTCCTTACCTCTTTTTAGTTTGAGTGAAACTGGATTTTCGCAAAGACGGAGACATTTTAAAACTGAAACATTCAATAAAACATACACTAGATGTTTAAAAACAAAACTAGGAGAGAGAAAATAAAAATAAAAAACATTTAAATATTTACAATCGTTAACAAAAATCTAATCAGAGCTATGATTCTAACAAAAAAGTTTTCATTTGTTTCATTATTTAAAAATAAACAAAAAGTATTTATTATAAAAGCAATTGTTTATAACTAAAATAGGAGCCATGCTTTAACAATTATTATAATACTACAACACAAAGCATTAAAAAAGAACACAAAAACAAAACAAAAGTAAATTGTTTGTGAAATAAATGTCATAATTTATTTCAAAAGATGAGGAAAAAAATGTAATTTAATTTTTAGAACTGTTGGATACATGAATTCGTATTAAATAAGGTAATTTTAAATATCCTTTCTTTCAATTAAATAATAAATAATATTTTAACTACTTTCCCGTAAATATGAAAACAAAACAAATATAAGTCAATTATAAAATGTTGAGCATATATATATATATATATATGAAGACTATCCATTAAATAAAAAACTGAGCTAATGAACAAAAGTCTGTCATTAACAGATGTTTAATATCATATCAAATTTAAATAAACAATAGATATCATATTGCAAAAATTATGATTAAATAGAAAATAATAATAAGCTTCCATTATGAGTCAGGTTGGTTGAAAACATGCCAAGTTGAATATATCTCAAGTTGGTCATAAATAGTAATTCTTTAGATTTGGCATTTAATTTTTGAAGTTGTAATTTCAGTTTAACTTTTGCAATTTTCATTTTAAATATAGCACAAAAATAAACGTTACAGGATACAGAGTTCCAAAATAATATTATTTATTGTTTGCAATCACACATGTAGGCACTTTAAGCTAATTGTCCACAAGAATGGTGTGGAGGTACAGTGCCAATTATACCAATAGTGTAACTTTATTAAAAGCCTATCATACCTCCACACCGACTTAGTGGACAGAGCTTTCCGGTTAGAATTATTGTTCATTTTTAATTTTATTTCCTTGATACTTTAAAAATAAAATTAACTTATAATTGTCCAATGTTCCCTCTAATTTATAAACTATATTAGGTTGTTCTAGCTCATAGAATAGAACACTGTTTATATATAAATTACCAATGATAGCTTATTTCAAAACTTTACATTCCTTATGACTGAATTGGCGAGATCACATCCCAAAGTTTCATTGAAAACTCTACATCAATTTATGAAATCCAAAGAACCCCAAAGAAATAGAAGATGATTCCAATCGGAAAATTTAAAAAAACTAGTACACACCAGTAAGAACATTAAATAGCTATCATTTACCCTAATACATTCAAAGTATAGTATAGCGACATTAGCAAAATATGTTTATTCATATTTACAATATATTATCAAGATAGTCTATTCAACACACATAACTGCTGAAGAAGCCACCTTAAAAGTGATTAGCTTGTTCCTCTAGAAAATAACTCTACCTATATAGTTTAATAATTTGGTAATAAGAGCCTGATACTCCTGAACGTATACTGATCCATTATTGTTATCACTCAAGACCTACGTTTGGTGCAAAAGAGCTCAAAAAGTTTCTATTTGTACTACCGGAAATGACCAGGGGATGATATAGCAATTCTCCTCTATTTACCATGTCAATAGAGTTTTAGTTAGTTGAAAACCACATAAGTTGATGAAATCCTAAATAAATAAAAAAAAAATCAAGGTAGAATGACATACTTCATCTCGAGACATCGTCATAAAACTAAACATTCATCAGAATACAGTTTTGCACCCTTTACATAGGGCTGGAAGTTCAATACTTTGGTTACACATTAATTGAAAGTGAAAAATTTAATGTATCAAGTTTCCATTTGTGAATTGCTTCTGAAACAAAACAAAATCAAGATATTTTTTAAACTAATGATGACGGGTGATGAAAAGTGGATCACGTATGTCAATATTGTGTGAAAAAGATCATAATCAAAGCCTGGAGAAACAATGGATAAGTGTTTGGGGGATTGGAAATGAATTGTTCATCATGAGCTGCTCGTACCTGGACAAACTATTAATTCAACTCACTACTATGAACAGCTAGTGCAATTGAAGCAGGCGATTAAATAAAAACCAACAGAATTGATCAATAGGAAAGATACTGTTTTCCATCACGACGCTACACCACACTCATCTTTAATGATCCACGTTTTGCATCCACTGGATGGTCCGGATCTTGCCCGGTCTGACCACCATTTGTTTCGGTTTCTGCAGAACTCTCTCTCTTAATGGTGTAAAGCTAGCATCAAAAAGAGGATTGTGAAAATTGGATTTTTCTTTCAAATCGTTAAAGGATTTTATTATTCATAAATTATTCAATACTTATTTCTAAGGCAAATAATTAGAAATTTTCTGTGTGGACCATATGTACAAAGAAGAAGGCTTAAGGATTTGAATTCATGATCTTCACATTACACTTAGTTTCACCCAAGCTAATTCAGCTGTACCACAAATCCATAAGCTTTTTAGCATTAGCATTAATACCATTAAAACAACAGAAATCATATACATTATATCAACAGTTGATCATTGATTGTACAATCGATTGATTATGGATTGTACAACTATTAATTATTAAACTATTATTTTCCATTGCAAAGTATACTAAAATGAAATTACGAGATTTGCATTGCCTGTCAAAAGTTGTCACACTAATTGTAAGCGGATACTGTTGAGATATCACAAAAGGAAAGCTCATCAAATTATTCACTAATTTAATTTTCTAAAAAGTTACATGATAATTTTTCGGAATAAACAGACGATAGATACCTAATTATTTAAATATAATATCAGATCTAGAGTTATTAAACTGCAGTAAATGTATTTAAGGTTATAAACAATGAAATATGTTTATATTTCACTTCTTCTTTTCACACAAGAACAAAGATATAATATTTTAAATAATGTCATACCCTTGATGCGGTGGATTTTAATTATTTTTTCAAACTTAAAAAAAATTTTAAAAGTTTACATTTAGTAAGAAAATTTCTTTAATTTGCTTGGAAATATGTGATTTACATTAAATAATGTTAGTTTTCAGAAATTATTATCTATACTTTTTTCGTCACTCTCAGTTATCTTCTACGACTTTATTTATTAGATATTATTTTTTTCTAAAATCCGCTTTCCAATAATATATTATATGCATACCATCTGATTATCACTTCGGGAAATACATTTTCGAACTGGATAAGCATTTTTCTAAGTTATATTTAGCCTTTTTCCATAACTCTTTCATAACAATGAGAGCTAGTTAATTATTTAAAATAATTAAAGGTAACATTTAAAATAAACCAAATTAAAGGTACTTTAGAGGAATACAATTTGAACATCTGACATTTAAGCCGTATTAAGCGACATCACTAGGGATAAGACCTAGATGATATTAAAGATTTCTTAATTATGCATTGATACTCATAATAAAAATGTATTATATAGATAATAAAAAGTGTCACTTCCGCTTTGCCGAAAAACTTGTAACATCTCGAGCATATATAAATCTTAAATACACAATTTCAGTTTTGTAAGACTTTTCATTTTTGAGTTAGGCTATTCACATATGCACAGCACACACACAGACCATTTAAAAAATGGTATATTTACAATTTAATATTTGATATGGTGATATTTACACAAAACAAGACTTAGTTATTTGGACTCAGGTAACCTTAAAAAGTGTATTTCCATTGAAATCTCGGATTCAAAAATTTTAACAATCGCAATACTTTCCTCTACTATACATTTCATATATAGGTGAATGAAAGTAAAAATTGTATTTCCTTAAAACCTATGGCTCATAGTTAATTATTTTTATATAACCTGTACTAATCATGATTTCAAATATAACATTTCATATTTAGGATTAAGTTAATCCTTAATTTAGTTACTGTTTAGACTAAAAGATGTTATAGATAGGTCAGTAAGCAGTATAGTTACTAAATTACAAATGAATCATAAAAGATATTTAGTAAAGGAAAAGCTTTAATCATTTCAATTTCTATAAATCCAATTTTTTTAACGATTCAAATGGATCTGTGTGTTTTTGGTGTTTATGCATTATAAAAAAGAACATTTCTTACCATTTCTACAAAAATTATTTTTAATGAGAAATACCTATAAGAGCCAACTGAAAACTGAACACTATAAATCAAAAAGAATATTTAAAAACGTATAATGGCTAAGATACTGGACTCGTTTGAAATTGTGTTTAATAATCTCAACAAACTGAATATGCCAAAAATAAGGTTATAACAAACAAGTTATTATCAACAGGATATAGCAGAGGTCATTTAATAGAGATAAGGCAGTAGGATTCTTCAATCTCCCCTAATGTATTTATTATAACATACTTGCAGTGTTTTACTTTTAGAAATCTGACAAATGTTTTCCCTGGAAGATGAAAAACTAAATTTAATATTTTAGCAGGTAAGAATGGAAATATTTTATAAAAAAAAAAAAAAAAAATCTATATAGCTATGTTCATTTTTAATCATAAAGAAGTGAGAAATTAATCCTAAATGATTTCATATACTTCAGAAAATGCAACAGACCATATAAATAAAAATATACAAGATATGAAACCCACAACATTGCTTTATTAGTTTTTTGTTTTACTTAAATTACGACCACTCCTCAAATTATGTCGGTTTTTGATGTCTCGGTATAATTTTACTTCTATACAAAAATATTGAAATATTTAAAATTAATTTTCTGTTTTGATGGGGGAGAAGTCTTGAAATTTGTTTGGAATTTCTGAAAAAAAAAAAAATCTTCTGAAGGTTTATAAGTGCTGTCTTAAGACAATGATACAGAGCGTAGTGCTTAAAATATAAGCAATTGTTGAAAACCAGAGTGATATACTATGTTACAAACAACATTTCATCACTTTTATTCCCTAAAAATCTTTTTAAATAAATAGAAATATAATTTCTGAAACATTTTTCATTAACTATGGATATAGTTAAATGAAAAATATTCCTTGTTATAAAGAAGTAGAGAAAAAAAAAACAGGTTGAAAAAAGGGAGGAGATCTGGTCCAAGAAATATTCCTATCGAGCTGATTAAGTATGGATCCTGATCCTGCGAACTTGAACATTACCTAGCAGACCTTATGGTAGTGTATTTAAAATGCAGAACTGAGCTAGAAGAATGGACTGAATGCCATATAACACTTTTTTTTCAAAAAGAGGAGAAAAAAGGATTGTTTTTATTTTATTACAGATTATTGTATTAATTACTAGCAGCATCAGTTGCCTTTAAAGGTCGTATTAAGCTCTAGATTACAAGAAGAATGTTCTACAAAAACACCTGAAGAACAGGCAGGCTTTCATGCAAATAGATCATGCATTCACACAATTAATTGAAAAATAGAATGTCTGTGAAAATAAGGTCCAAAAATAATTTTCACAAATCTGCAGGAAGCTGTTGAGTTCCATTATGCAGACTGGGAATCCTAATAGAGCATAGGAATAAGATCCACTAAAAGATTGTAAAATGGAGCTATAAAGAGGATATAACTCAGAAATGAACTAACAAACCAATTTCTTAAACTAAATGGCTCAAACAAGGATGTTGCCTGTCTCCAACGTTATTCAATCTTTGTGTTGAGGATTTTTAAAAATGTAGTAGAATTATTATATTACCTATAAGTTGTCTTTTGTATAAAGAAAGGAAAACATCTTGTATTCTCATATTATTAAAGTTAATTTCATTTTTTTTTTTAATTAGAATTATGAGCTTTCCGAGGTGTTATTTTTATCCACAAGGATGTATTATGTATGACGATGTATCAGCAAGCTAAGTATTCAAAAGCTTAAAAAAGTTATCATATTTTGTAAACCTACCACAAATTTTTAAATGATGCAAAATACAATTGTTGAAATAATAAAAAGAACCTATTTTGATTGATAAACGGAAGTCTTATAAAGGCGATGAATTCTTATTTTTCTTGTCAAATTCTCAGAGTACTTAGTTTGGTCATCCTTTAAAAGATTTCGTGTTCCTTAGTGAATGATCAAAAAGTAATTCTGATTACTAAAAAGTAAACAGAATTAAGTTATCTCTTAAATATATTTTTTTAAAATAGGTCTTAAAACATTTGGACAATTTCCTATTGTTTAATACTACTGAATGTGTAAACGATAAAATGCCAGTTGAATTTCAATTACTATCTGGCAGTGACCTTCCAGTAAAATTCAATTATGCTAGCCAGAATAAGTCTTTAGCAATAATCAATTATATTGTTTTTTTAATTTAACTGTAATTTACATAAAACAAAAGAATGATTCTACTATAAATAAGAATAACAAATTTATAAAAAACAAACTTCAATTGTGTTGGAGCAGAGTATGAATTTTAAAACTCTTTTTTTGGGGTATAAATGATGTTTGTAATAATTAAATAACAAAATGGATATTGTAGGATCAGGATTTTGTAGAAACAATAATTAGCCAAAATCACTAGAAACTGACAGTAATAAAGATAATCGTGATCTGTAATGGCAAAACTTATTTTAAGAAAAGTGATGAAAGCAAATTTATTAATGATAATATAGAAGTAATTAATAAGAAATAAAAATTAGAAACAAATAGTTAATGAGGTCTGAAAGAACATATCGCTGATATATTGCAAGAAGTCACTAAATATACTTTTGATAGAGCTAAATTTTTAATTAGATTTTTGTGAATTTTAATCTTATTTATTAATGAAAAAACACAGTAAGTACATCAAAATTATAGCAATATTATGATGTATGTGCTCAATCTTTTGAATTTATGAAACAAAGATTCATTAATTTTATGAAATGTTACTTAATGAGTTTCTGCAATAAATACACAATTTTATTATATATTTTATATAAATCTATAGCCAATGATTAGTATAAATTAATAACTTTAGCATAGAAATTCATTCAAATAAATGCAAAATAAAATATTGAAATTAAGAACTAAAAATTACTAGTTGAAAAAAATTGATTTCACAAGAAACAGAAAAGGTACGTCACAGCATAAAAGTCAATCATAAGACAAGACGTCTTTTACAACCACAAAACATTATGAAGAGACTAGATAAATTGAGAATAAAAGATAAGTTCCTAAACTCAGTGCTGAGTTCATCAATGGCAATTTTTTGGCCAAGTTTGAGACGAAACCGATGCCATCAACGAGCTCAGCACTGAGTTTAGAAACTTGCCCATACTTACGAAAAAACTTAGATAACTACAAGGGAGAGTGTTCTATTACAGTTAAGTCCATGTAACTAAACTTACTTAAAAAATATTGGGTCTCTATGTTCACAGCGTGACTATACTCCCTAACTAACGATTTAAGTGGGGCAAAGGTATATCCTAAATTGAACATTTATCTTACCAACAGTTCGGTAACACACATAACAAAGTCACATGTAACAGTAAATTGTTGAAGCTTCTGATTAAAAAAAAAAATAATCCACAAAATAAGTATTTTCAAGGCAATGATGGATTGATCAGATTCTGTTTTTACATTATGACTTATGCATAGTATTAAAAAAATGAACTATATGCAAGCAAATTATGTTTCATAACCTCTTTAAACATAATGATTTTTGGAAAATGTTTACAAAGAGGTATAATTAATCATATTTAACATCTGAAAAATCAAAAGACTTTGTTCATCCTCATCTTCAAATCAGTTCTAATTAATATGAATTAATAAAAATGGTTTAATACATCAGGAAAACTCAAATTAATCAACTTTCAATCTTGGTTTTTGAAAATCAATTTACCTTCTTTTGTGTTAAGCCTATTAACATCTGTTTCATTAACCTTTAAAATAACGTCCCCTGCTTCAACCTGCAAATAATTAACATTATAGTAATTGTGTAGCAAACGGATGATACAGAAAAAACCCTTCACATCATGTTACAGAAAGAAATCCTATTTTGAGAAATCATGTAATAAAGAAAATGAAACTAGCATTCTTAAAATGTACATAAATGAAGCAATCACAAAAAAAAAAAAAAAAGAATATGCAAGCATCAAGTATCATCTGGCATGCTCAATTGTTCAAACATATACATAAACGTAAGAAGATAACAACTACAAAGAAAAACAATTACATCTTCACATAAAATCTAGCTAATAGATAATTCACTAAACAGTACAAATGTAGAAATTAATAAGAATAAGTGACTGACAGTGGGAGAGATCAAAAAACATTTTTTAAAAGTAATGATAAAACATTAACCACTATAGACTCTAATACTTGAGATATAGAAAACAAAACAGTTGATTTAGAAGTACATTATAACTTTAAAAGACCTTACTATTATCCTTTACTGCGAAAAGAGAAACTTTTTCACCATAAACGAGCTGTTAAATGAAAGCACTCACTTTTCCACTTTCTGCAGCAGGGGAATTTTCTACGATGTCATATATAATTGGAGGAAGTCCGGGTGTTCCTAATAATGAAAATCCTAGCCCACACGTAGGATCTTTCTTATTTAATACGACAAGCAGCTCTTCAGCCATGGTTTGAAGATATGTCAAACATTGTAGCCGCTTCCCAGATGTTCCAATGAAGAAATATCTTCCATTGAATACTGAGCTTTCAAGTAATATAAACTGATATTTCATAAACTTAAACCGGTAAATAAATAGACATCAAAAATAAGAGTTTTGTTTAATTTTTCATGAGAAATGACTGATTACGGAGGGAAGAGAGGTTTATACACCTTACTGGACCAGCAGGTAACTACCACCATTTTATAGTGAGTGGTTATCCAACATTATTTTGAAAACTACTTCAATCAACATCATTGATATGGTTTATAATAATGAATTATCGAAGATAAAATGCTTATAAATAATTTTTAAAAAGTTAGTAATAAGCTTAAAAAGCAATTTATTAAAGTATTATTAAATGTATTTAAACTTTTATGGTTTCGTTATTAAATTGATAAAACTATAATTATATAGTTATATAAACATTCAAATATAATATTATACAAAGTTATTTTAGTAATAAAAATAGAGGAGTTATAAAATAAATATATAAAACCAGAGGAACGTTCTCTTAAAATAAAGGTTTTATCTCCCCCCCCCCTACATTCAGATTTGAAGTATAACGATAGTTACACTAAAACTTTTGGATAAACGTAGCAAAGACTTATTACAGTATAATTTAAAAAAATCTTTGCTCAGTGTTTTTGGTCTAAGGCTTTTTGTTGAAAAACTACACTGGTGACAACGAAATGATAATCGCAGTCTGATTATCATCGGGCTCACATCGATTGACTTTGAAAGTTGTCCGTTCTAGGAGGATCTATGTGTTTAGCTCAATCAATAGTACAAGGTCTTGGACCAATTAATGATGAATTTTTCCTTTGCGGCTTCGTTGAACTCAAAATATAGTATACTTTTTTTTTTTATATTGGATGACCCAGGGCCAAAGCTAGGATGTTTTGAAGGAGGGGAATGTTTAATTTTGTTGCTTCTTTTGCCAACTCTCCTCTCTCTCTTCCTAATAAAAGTTTTACAACAATAATTTAGATACTATATTTTACAATAAATATTAAAGGTGGCCAAACCCCACCACCAAGGACCATGGTGCATGGACCTCCCTGTCCCTTCCAAGAATATTTTATTTTTATTTTGCTCCATACTTTGGCTTTAAGACGACAAGGGCGTTTACATCAGTGAGTGATATGCATTCCTGCAGGTGAACCTGGTTACATTATGATCTTTAGCTGTACACACAGTTTGCCCTTGTTCATTCATCAGTTTGGCCTCCGTCTTCTTCTCTTCTTTCGGGTGCCTTCCTTGAATGTTCCTATCCTAAATTAAGTGGATTGGAACTTCTTTCCACTCCTAATTAAAGTACGGGTAATTTAGTTTAGTCATCAGCTGAAGGACCCACTCTTCATTTATATATACATCATCAGAATTTAGAGCTCTGTTTTCCTCAACAATTTAGCCCCTAGTGCTTCACTCATGTTGGAGCTTACAGCGATGTGTTTGGCGGTTTCTGGTACGCTACAACTGGGCTTTAGGAGATCGATGTTTTTCCATGTTAAGGAATCTTCCCATCTTTCAGATGTTTATTGTCCAATAAATCTTATAACTTTTAGAGTAAATTAGACTTTAAAAAACAAACCCTAGTCGGCCGGGCCTGGCCCAAGGCTACGACTCCCCCTATTGTTGGGCTTGTCACCACCCTATGGGTTGTTAAGTAACTGTGAAATTCGATATAATAATCAAATTTTTTTAGTATCATGACAGATACCTATGAAAACGGTATTAAAAAATAAATCATCATTATTTGTTCAAACATATCAGTGACACCAGAGCCGAAACGAGAAAGAGGCAAAGGATTCACTTTTTCAGGGTAGCAATTCTCCCATGAAATTTTATTGATAAAATATATTTATTTCTGCTTTTTGATTTTTTTTTAAATCTTGATTTAGTCAATAAAATGAAATTATGGATGTTTATCAGGGGACCAAGTAGTTGGTTTCATGGCCCAATTAGAGCCTTCAACATTTGAGGGACACATTAATGGGAACAGAGTTATGAATTTTCGGAATGAAAAGTTTCAAACTTGGGGACATGGGGAAAGCAATGGACAGACCACAGCAAGTTTAATTGTTGTATATCATCTATGATTTTTTAAATTCTACTTTCACCTGCACTGTTTTTTAGAGGAGATTAATACAATTTTGTGGGAGGGGACCTGTTTAGTTACCATCCAGCAATAACCAAAGAAGAACTTTACACATTTTTTGGTAAAACTCTGGTGTTTCAAAGAACTTTTTTTTTAAATAATGATTCTTAGGCCACCAAGCATAATGTCATTTACTTTATTTCTTGTTCTTCCAGAGTACTGGCCATTATAGATAAACATCTCCTCTCCAAAAATTAAATCCTGAATCTGCTACATCTCCCAACTGGTTATATATATATATATATATATATATATATATATATATATATATAAACTTTTCCTTCATCGACCTTTGAGTATTAAATTCAAACTTCACTATTAAGTAGCTTAATATATGTGCTAGTGGACGGTGCTGAGGCTGTCGGTGTGTCCCTGGCCTGATCGAAGCTCTATTTTTTTAAATTCTAGCTTTGAAGAGGATCCCAAGAAGAAATGAACATTAATTAGTTTATTAAATAATAATTAAGTGACCTTATTCCCAATAAAATAGTGAAGTTTGAATATATATATGTGTGTGTGTGTGTGTGTCTTTCAGTTGATAGAATGACTAATTCCAATTTCAACATTTTTGTGTTAGTAAAAAAAACTCTAAAAAATATTTTAGTTATATTTCTAGTTGGAAAATTTATACATGTACAGACAGTAAGTAAATTGATTTCAGAGTAGGTGAATGCAGTGTTGAAATATAGAACTGTGAATAAAGGTTTAAATTTTCCCACTAAAAATATTACCCGTTAATAATAAAAAATGTTAAAATTGGAGTTAGTCATTCTGTCAACTGAAAGGCTCATATATGTGTGTGTTTTTATTATAAACATCTAATTCCAATTAGTTTGTATTTTTCTTTCACTCAGTTAACATGGAGTGGGATGATAAAGAAAACCGAATAGTTGTGATCGCCTTACACAAAGTTGGAAAATATAGGTCAGAGATTTTCAACACTTTGAGGAGACCTTTGGTATGAACCGTATGTTTGTGTACCGCACTAATAAATATATATAATGAGACCCTATCTGTATGTGACAGACCTCATCCAGGCCGTCCCCAAACTGTGCGAACAGCAAATGCAGTGGCTGCTCGAATCAGAAGAAACCCCATTTGAAAACAACAAATCATGTCTCGGGAAATGGAAATCTCTGCCAGATCAATGTCTTGCATAATAAAAAGTGACCTTAGGATGGATGCTTTTCAAAGAATGACAGTACAAAGGCCTTCCCTAAAAAAATCTGAGTGGATCGGTGCAAAGTGCTTCTTGGCCGTTACACCAATGGTCTTCATCGAAAGATTTTGTTGAGCGATGAGAAAATTTTTATAATTGAAGAAAAATGTAATTGCCAAAATGAACGTGTGTACATACACAGCTCTAAAAAAGTCCAGCAAGTCATTGGAAGAGTGGAAAGAAGTCATCACACATCCTCAGCGATGGTTTGGTGGAGAGTTTGCTTTGATGGCACTGCAAACCTCCACTTTTGTGAAAAAGGAATAAAAACAGCCACTAAAAATTGCCAGGATGATATTTTGGAACCTGTTGTCAAGCCTCTAAATGATACTCTATTTGCTGGAAGCCATTAGGTTTTCCAGCAGGATTCCGCTCCAGCTCACAAGGCCAGGTCAACTCAGCAAGAGAATATTCCAGAGTTCATCTCTATCTCGGATTGGCCCTCAGGAAACCCTGATCTTAACGCACTAGATTATCGGCTTTGGTCCGAACTGGAGAGGAAGGTATGCCACAGAGCACACCTTAACTTGAAAAGCCTCAAACAACTCAAAATTCAATAGATAAACAGAATAAACAAAATAACATGAAGTAACATTCAAATCAGAAGACATTTTAAATATCTTGGACACATAAAAATTTAAAAGGTCATCTGCTGTTTTTCCAATAGTGAGTTATACAAAGGAACATAATTAAACTTCAAATTAAAAATATTTTGAGTAAATTAATTAATTTCACAGAAATGGCTGATATACAAAAATGTTTGAATGTTATTTTTTGCTCTATCTTTCAATTACTTTAAACAAGAGAATAGTTGTCTATTGTTGGCTCTGGAAGGAAAACTTATATAGACAATTAGAGACAAGCATACATTAATGAATTTGTTACTAAAAAAGACCTTGTCATTGTCTTACATGATAGCCTATTACTTATTTCATCAGAATTTTATAACTTTCATTTTTATAGTCTTATTCAAGTTAACTTATTTATCAATGAAAAATCAAGTTTCACCAAAGAAATGCCATGAAAGAAGATAACATTAATAAGGAAGAGAAGTAGTCAGATTTGAAAGTTGTGATCAGATGTATTTCTTTTTATTGTAGAGAAATATGTCTAATGTACTTGATATGGCTAGATAGCTTTATGTTATATTTACTTAGATTCATAGGAATCATTAATAGAAGAGGATATGTAAACTTGAAAAGAGAATATTGGAAAACTAAATTAAAAAAAAAATTGATCTATAAAACATAATTTTAATTTGGAATGATCCATTACCATAATTTTCTGGGAATAGTTTTAAGGGGAATATATAAATGAATAAATCATTATTAATTATATGTTTATTACAACCCTTTAAACAGGGTTAATAAATTACATCTAAATTGAAAAAATCTTTCAATTTAAATTGAGTATAAAATTTTCTATAATTTATAAAAATATAAATTATGTATCCATATGTATATGTTTTTACAAATTTAAAAAAAATTTTTCAAAATACAATTTGAGATCATTTGAATTATTTTTTATTTTTACATAAATCAGCAACCACAAAAGTGCGTAATCTCGTATATAATGTACATATAAACCTATAAAATAAAAATAGTTTAAAAAATAAATTTACATTTTTACAAAACAGTACACAGTACTGAAAATAAGACAGCCTTAAAATTAAAAAAAAGAGAGCACTAAGTCCTAGGTTTGAACCTTGACATATAAAAATCACAGTCCGTACAATAAATTGATGGAGAGATGATAGGTTTCTTTCGGCACAAATTACACATAGAATTCCTTCCGTTACTACCATTCATATTTTGTACAACTTTCTGCGGTTCTATTTGTCGAGGTAAAGGTGGATGTTGATATGGTGAGTACTTACTTTGAAGGGATTGATTATTGGGATTCTGATTATTAGCTATAGATTGATTACCAGTATTCCCATTCTGAAGTTGAATGTTTGGGTTGACCGGAGGACTCTGGTAAGTAGGACTCAATGGTCCATTATTATATATTGCTTGGCTAGAATAAGCATCAGGATTCAACAGGTTGGGTACCCTCTGATAAATGTCCGGTCGGATATTGGGCACTTCATTTTTCATCATATGCTGAGGATTGAAGTCTTGGATCGGCGATTCAGGTTGGTACATACCTTGAGGCCTACTCTTATTCATTGCTGGCAAACCGTTGCTGTTGCTTACAGGCTGCCTCATTTTTTGAGGTAATGTCAAATAGCAGTTTTGATTACTCTGCACACCTGAGGGCAATTGTTGTTGATTAGCATTTTGCATCAAAGAAAGCTGAGAATGATTCATCATCAACTGTGATTTGATAGACAAACTAGGTGAAGGAATATTTGTTTGCTGAGACATGGGTTGACCTTGCTGATTAATATGATTTAAGGTAACTGTCTTTGTAACTTGATTTCCACCTCCTGGACCATTCAAAGAGTTGTTGCTAAGCTGCTGATTGGTCAACTGCAATTGGGAATTTGCTAGCTGCACATGTGATGGGTAAGTTGGCAGCTGATTACTGAATGGCTGTCCTTGTATACCAGAACTATGTTGAGGGATGCTGGAAAGATAAGCTGGCTGCTCAGATTGACCATTCACAGGTACATTCTTTAACTGATAAGAATTATTTGCAAGCTGATGATTTCCCGTCCTCTGATACGTTTGCATTGTAGCACCAGGAATATGATTACTTTGCAAATTAGTGTTATGATTGATTTGATGAATGCCATTACTAACTGATGCGCTTTGTAACATCTGATTGTGAAAACTGGGAGAAGGTAGATTTCTTTGCTGCATAACAGGTGGCTGTTGATAGTTTTGTAAAGGCTGTGATGAGTTCATTTGCCTTAATGCCGAATGAGGATTGCTCATCAATTGACCAGTAGAATTCAAGTACTGCTGATGGTGAAGCAACTGCTGAGGATTCAGAGAACTTTGTGGTAACTGCTGATAAACTTGTGATACTGCCTGATTTTGGTGAGATAATGCTTGTGCCCTTGGTTGAATTAAATTCATGGGAGGAACCATACTTGACTGACTGTAGTTTGGGCTGCTTAGGGGAGAATATTGACCTTGAAGCCCATAATTCTGGGATGTAGGAAGTGACATTGGTCCTGAATTCTGAGTCATACTGTTTATTGCAGAATGTTGGTTAGAATGGGGAGTGTTGTTGCTATAGAGCAAATTTTGCTCTGACATACTATTGCCTTGATTAGGGAAATCAGGATTTTCTGTCACTGGCGATGATTTTTGTTCTGTCTCTCTAGAAGGAATAGTGTTGTATTCAGGCCTTGAAAATGCCATGGACTGCATGGAGTTGCTAAGTTTATTGACATCAGATTCTGATAACTGCCTGCTATCCCTCATCATTGGCAACCCATTAACCCTAGATGACATTTGATACTGGTCGTCAGGATGATACTGTAAGGAATTCATCGAAAGATATGGTGAATTAGAATTTGAAACCTGCTCATTGGAATTTTGATAAGGAGCTGAAGACATTACATGATTAGAAATTGACAAGTAAGGGCTTTGATTAGACATCTGAGGCGATACTTGCATTCTACCAGCTTGACGATTTGGAACAGGAGATGGTAATACCCTCTGAAAATTAAATTGCCGATTAGGATTATTATTAGGATTTTCAACAAGTTTTTCATTTGGAAGTCCATTTGAACACTTTTCAGTTTGTTCTGCACTGACTATTGCATTAAGATCTTCTGGCTCATTATCTTTTTGCTCCTGCTGATTACGCACAGAACATTGTCCATAGCTTCCTGAATCGTTTCTCTTTAATGGTACAACAGAATGGACTGCAATTTCTTTTGTTTCCTGATGAGGAGAATCTCTATGTAATACTGACCTTAAAACTCTCTCGAGAATCGGATTCGGTATGTAACTATTAACTTTATCTTCTTCCGCAGTAGCTACTAAAACTACCTGCTCACAAAAAGTAACATTTTTCTTCTTACTTGGCTTCCTTTTCATATCATCACATCTACTACTGCTTGCCAAACTGCTCTTGATTTCAACATCATTATTTTTTCCAGGAGCATCATGCTCATGCTTTATTTCTATTGGGTTTACAACAACAGAAGAATGTAATGGTAAGGAGGATGCAGTAAGATTCATTCTTTGTTTTTGTTCAACTGTAATCTCATTGGGTTTTATTTGTTTTTCAAGAGTCTTATGAGTAATGGTTTCAAACTTAGATTTCAAATCTTTTACTGATGAAGACTGATCATCAATTCTATGCTTGCCAACTTCATTGGACATTATATCTGACTGCCCTCTGAAATCTTGAGGATGGAATGGTTGCTTATCCATCTGTTTCTGAACAGTTTGAGGTTCAACATCAATTCCGTCACGATTTTTTATTGCAGCCTGTTTCGCTTGCAACTCTCTTAACCAGGTTTCACATTTAGTAGGTTTCATAGAATCAAACGAATCCACACTATCTATAAAATCATTATCATTCAGTATCTGAAGCCTCTTCTTCTGTAGTTGCTCTAAAAGACTACTTGGAGTAATAGCTTCTATTTCATTAGGAGGAGGGGGAAAATCTTCACTTGCTTGACGGGAATGAGTGACTGAGTTCAATGGTGAAGGATATGGTGGCAAATCAAATAGGTCACCATCATCGTCAACCACACATTTATATTCCTTATCAGGAGAAGCAACTTGGTGAACCTGAGCAGTTGTCACCAGTTTTGTTTGACAATTGTTCAAGTAACTACCATTAGCATAAGTAACAGATTCCTTGTTCTCAGTGAAACCTAATGCAGGCAAACTTTGAGGCTCAGGTTCCTTCCAGAGGCTAAGTGTGTTTTCTTTGTGAACTAAATGAATATCAGGAAGTTGAAATTGTGGTCTCTCAGATTTACTAAGCTGAGATGTGGTTCGTAAAGGGGGAGGAGGTGGAACCTTTGCCATCTGAATCAGTTTACTGCCATGTAAACTTTTCCTCATAAGCTTACTCCTTTCAAGATTTGGATTTCCTGAATACTCTAAATGACCTTCTGACAAATAACCGGATAAGCTGGGTTGCTTATCAACTTTACCAACATTTGTGTCATCCTTTGACCCTCCCTTTATAGCTACTTCGTCTTCCCTAAGATCAGGCATTGATCTGTTTTTTCTTCTAATCAAACCTCCCATTAATAATTTCCTTCTTATCTTATGCTGTTTCTTACCTTGCTTTTGTTCTTCTGCTTTGATTTGTTTCTTAGCCTCTTTAGAAATTTGGTTTGAAATAAATTCTTTTTCCTTTTGACTTTCTTTCTTACTGTTTCTTTCTTCACTCCTAGCCCTTTTCTCATCTTTTTTACCATTTGGAGGTTTGTTCCTGCTTAAGCTTCGACCTGGACGGTCATACATAAGATATTCTTCGTCTTCCACAGCATTGTTTTTAACTTTAGAAGTTGCACGAGATAATAGCCCTTTCCGACTTTTTGGTAAAGTAGCATATATTTCTATATTTTTTTCTGAATTCGGCTCAGGAATTTCAGGGCTTGGTTTGCTATCAGGTAAAAGTTCTCGGCTATTTTGTCGAGAATGATTTCCTTTATCCTTAGAATTCTGACGAGAATGCGAAGATGTTGCTCCTCTGCCACTGCATCCACTTCCTTCTCGACTGTGTCTGCCCTCTCCATCTGAGAAATTAAAATTTTATCTTTAATTTTTTGACTAAAAATATAATATTTGAAACTCAGCATTTTGTTTTGAATACATACGTCTCGGTCCATTAGGCTCCTCAAGACGCTTGTGGATGCTCCTTGCTTGCATTATACAGGTGTTGTGCTTCATTCTTGCAGCAGAGGCTGCTTGGGGATTGCTGTAAGGTGCATCCATGGCTTGTCTAGCCTTTCCAACTGCAGCATTTGCAAATGTTAAAGCTCTTTCTAAGTCCTCTGTTGCCTGTGAGTGCTTCAAAAGCATATCAGCTTCATCACATAAGCGTTCACACTCTGCAATAAAAAATAACACAATTATATTATAATTGGATATATGATAAGGCAAAAATAATGAGGTTATGGCTGGAGAAGTTGATCTTGGAAAACAAAAATCAAGATATGTTTTAAAATGCATTTAATTATGATGGGTGTAAATTAAGAACCCAATTTCATTCATATGAAACACTTATCATCAATAATAAAGTACTGTATTTTATTTATTGCTATTCAAATATTTCAAACCATGTCAAGATCATAAAACTTTAGGAAAATAAAACAGTTATGTCAAGCACAATAAACCATCAAGAAGTAGAAAATAAATAAAAATATAAAAAATAATTTTAAATTCAAAAAAGAAGATTTTGGAGGACATTCTATTTGCTGACTACTTTAATATATTTTATTAAATTCTATTTTAATAACATTAACCTGCAAAATATACTAATCCTTATTTCTTTATAAATGTTTGTGATCCTACTATTATTTCAATTGCTATTGATCTTTTTTATACCATTTACTATAAATTAATTACATGTAAATGGCATGAAATACATGAAGGTGTAATTAAATTTATAAAAAACTAAACACCATGAACGAACAAATAAAACTTAAGAACTTTCTATCTTAGTATTATTCTGTAGAACTTGTATACAAGTGTTTAAACATTGTTTTTCCAGTAAGTTTAATAAACAGTTGAAGTATTGAACATTAAAAAGAAAATATTTTTCTTTCTCTTCTTGTTTTTAGAAACTTTTCAAATGTATCTCAATAAAAATCATGTACTCAAACCTTCAGTACGACATAGGCATATAATTATTAACTTTGAAATTGTATCTATGCCACTGAATGGTTAAAATATAATGAAATAACTCTGTGACATCACATTGATCTATAAAACACTGTAACTGTTCATTGGCTATTCATAGCACATTGAGAAACAATTTATGTATATGTTAACTACACATAAAAAATTATAGGCAGTTTGACTTTTGATAGACTTTAACTTGGTAGGTCATACTATTCAGAAATTCACTAAAAATATTTATTTCTTACCAGATTGGCCTGATGTTTGAGAATATTGAAGATTTCCTAATGAAACTGGTGACTGATGCCCTTCAGGTATCTGTGCCAGCTGAAACATATAAATACACATTGAAAATTTGATATTTCATACACTAATTTGTACATAATATGTAATATTAAATAAAATATTACAGACCTGTTGAACAAAACCAAACAAAGAAAAATCACTATAGATACAATATGTTTTTGTTAATCCAACATCTACATCATAAATGACTAGGAATTTTTTATTTAAAAACTTTCATTGAGTTATCATATGGTTTTTCATATGATTAACCTCTGGAAATGATACTTAAATTATCAAATTTAAACAATTCTTAAATTTATTAAATAAAAAAAGTTTCAAGTTGTATTAGCTGTACAATAAGCAGTGGTTTACAGTCCATTTCATATACCCATACACAGTATATTACACATTTGACACAAGTGGGCGATTCCATGGTAAAAAAACATATTCTCATCCCAAGCTGTTTTCAAACCTTCTGCTTGGTATTTTTTGAAGGTAAAAATACTTCTAGGAATTAAACTAGAACAAACAAACTCTAAGCAACATACCTTAGAGTAGTCCTAAACAACAGGTTGATTTAGAGTGGGTACTGCCACACTATGCAAAAGCACTAGGTAATGCAAAAGCTGAGTAATTAGCAATAGATGTTAGAAAAGATTCGCCAGATAAGCCAATAACTTTATTGACGGAAAACAATTTAAATATATTATTAATGAGAGATGAGTTGGAATGGAAATGGGAGTTGTAGTTGTAGTTAAGGAAAAGCAATGGGCTTCATTACTTGACAAAAGGGAAAAATGTCAGTAAATCTCCCAAGAAACGAAGCCGTTGCTTATTTTCAGATGAAAACTGGTCATGACTTGTCTTTAAAGCCACCTCCACCATTTTTGAGTAGCCAAATCACAAATACACCCACTGTGCCGACAAGGTTATATGACAGCTCTACATCTATCGACCTGTCCTGGACGACAGGATGCTAGATTCATAACTAAGACTGAGGGCGAAAACTTTGCTCTATTATCCTCATTTCAACAAGTAATGAATAAACCAATCACCAGTAAAATATTAAAAACATCTCTCTCCTGGCTGCCATACATGATATTACTATCTTATTAGCATTTTGGAACATTCTACTGCAGTTCTCAACTTCAATAAAAATATAATGTTCACTTAAATTATGCAAAGGTTTAATTTTAGCAAACATACTCTCAGTAAAAATCATAGTACTCTAAATAATTTTTTGGATCCAACCTAGAATTTTCTCGAATATCCAGTTGTTTGACTACAGTGCTTTTTGACTTCAAACAAGATTGATTTTGTTCAGTCCAACTTCAGTATAGAAGTTATGTTGAAAGTGATCACGTGAAAAATGTGATTCTGTTTTAATTCAACCCTTACCCTTGGCTTCCATTATTCCATTTTTAGTTTCTAGTAACTTTCATCAGGGAGTTAAAGCAAGATTCTCAAGGGACATGTTCCTTCTACTTATTGAGTGATGGTCAATTAAATTTTTATTAGAATTTCTTTTTATCCTGGCGTATATCATTATTTAGGAATAATAGAAGAGGAGATAGGTCCAAAGGAGGAATGATTTTAAATTTCATGATTTCTTTTCTCTAACAAGGGATTTCAATACAAAAATTACTTGCAAAAATTTATGTCAAATTATTCAAAATTACCTGTAGGTTATGTTTAAGTGTTTGCTGTAGAGGAAGACTATCTGTAGAAGAGAGTGAGTAAGAATCATATCCTGGGTCACATTGGCTTCCACCAGAACTAGACTCGCCACCTTTGAGGCTTGTAGGACTTCTAGGAACAATATTTGTCCTGCAAGAATAAACCCCCAAAAACAAATTAAATAAAAGTAATCAAACTAAATGATAAAATACAATTTTTTTAAATTATAAAATTAACCTGTTTTGCATTTTTCCAATAATATACTGGTAAGGATTTTCCAAGGATGTTGAGGATGATGAAGAAGCACTGTTTCTATCACCACTCCAATTTCCAGAATCCCTTCGAACTAGCTCTTTTCTACTCCACATTCCTGCCTTTTGTTGCATTGCAGGAAAGTTTTGGTATTCACTCAGCACTTGCAGGGGTCGCTAAATAACAGAAACATTTTTTTTATAATTCATGTAAATGATAAAGTTTATATTAATTAATTGTGGTAAAATTTTAAAACCAGATTTAAAAATTATGAAAATATATATGTAGTCAGGAATATATTTTACCATATCTCAATGAAAATACCTGATTATTTGAATCATTAGATTGTTCTGGATTGGGTGTCAAGGCACGCCTTTGAGCTAATGTAGCTAAGCTCGGTTTCTCAGGGCTTGGGGTAAGTGATCTCCTTCCGAGAGGTGGCTTGGCAGTTGGTGCAACAGTAGTAGTTTTCGGAGCTGTTGATGGATCTATTGGTGTTCCGTCTGGTGCAGCAAATAGCAGAAGAAGTGGCTGATATCTACCCCTTCGGCATTTGTCGACAACCTGCATGATAAATTAATATTATTCAAACAATCAATTATTTATATTTTAGTCTTTACCAAATGGAAACTTAAAAAAAATTATTAGCTTAAATTAATGATAAGACTAACCTGTTCCCATTTCGGGCCAACTTCTCTAACATTTGCATCATCAAAATAGATCCAAACTCTGAGTTTTGTATGAAAAAAGAAAGTTGAATAATGTTTCCCGTAGTAAGTGACTACTCCGACTAGCTGGTGAGGAGTATTCATATTTGGGCTGGGAGTGGGTGTATGAAAAACCTCTGTCAGGCGTAATGTTGTACGTAAAGTTCCCAACAAAGACATAACATGTTCCAAAGAAGGACGTTCACTGTCCCATACGATGCCGACAGAAACTATTTCAGGATGGTTTGTCAAAGTTCTTCGAATCTGGATCTTGGCTCCACAAGCACTCTGAAAAAATAAATTAAAATTAATCTTTGTCAAATTAGAAAAATAAATTAAGACAGTCAAGCAAAGCATCATAATACTTACTGGACAATCTCTGATGTCACCCATTCCTCCAGCATTTTTCAAAAGCTGTCCAAATAGGTCTGAATGTGCTTGATTGGGAATCTGTTTGGCCTGTGATATTAATGCAGAAGCCGAGACATAATGCACCATCTATAAACGACATATGATTTAAGATATGAAAAGAAAATATTAAATTATTAGAAAATAGCAACTTTTAATCTAAGTTTGAAAATTTATCATTAAAAGTAAATTTATAGTAATCAATAATTTTATCTGATTAAAACAATAAGTGAAATTCATCAAAAGAGTAATGACAAAAAACTTCAGCATTAAAATATTTTAATAATATAATTGTACTATTAAAATATAACTGATTTAAAAAAACAAATTGTATAAGTTATACATTTATTGATTATGAAGTGTCATTATCATAGCTAAAGTACAATGATTTAACATAGGAACTGTCTAAACAAGTAAAATCTATAATTAAAATAAAACTACAGACACCAATGATTAATGTAATTGAAAATGAGACAATTTTAGTAAAAAAAAAATTAAAATAGATATAATAAGAAGCGATTATTAACCTGAGTAAATGGCAAGGGCTCTGATGTTGCTCCGCATGCACCACAAACACTCTGTTCAACAAGCGTCATCGCAAACTTGACATGAGGAATGCAGTGGCCTGCACTGCATAAGTCTTCCGCCTCCCCACAGGCCAGGTGAAAATGTATTCGCAACAGAATATTTTCCTGCCAAATATAACCAAAGTAATATTAAATTTTGTTTTAATTTTAGAAAGAATGCTTGTTATGTATTCATTTCGTTACAAAATTATATAGCATTAGTGATAAATAAAGATGAAAACAATATATCACTTACAAAACATTCAGCTGCATCATCCATGAAGCCAAGTTGAAATCTTTGCTGATCAAAAAATGATTCCGCGAGGGCACGCCGCAGAGCGTCAGGAGGCAGTGCACTTTCATGGCTGAACTGCAACTGTGAAAACAGCTCCTGAAAAAAATAAAAAAATAAATTAAAGCAATACATTAAATGAAAATAAATTTCCATATTTAAAACTATAAAGCAGAGCATACTATAACGCAAGATTCATTTGATTCCTTTAATTGTTTGCTCCCTCTGTTTAATAATATCTCTTATGCAATAAGTGCATTCAGAAATTAGGATAAAATTAGATTGCAGTTGAAAAATACTGATCAATCATTTTAGAATAAAACATGAATGTATTTATAACTATTAGTTAAATTTACAAGTATGAAAATGTAATTTACAGATATTTTAAATTAAATGGTTTTTTATCATTGTGAGTTGTATTGATTAAAAAATTGGAGTTATGTTATCAAATTAAAAAAAAAAAAAAATCAATCCTATTGGAAAAGTACCATTTTTAGGTCAATAGTTATCAAAAGATGTATAATTCAATAAGGTAATGTGGTTATTACCTCTCTCCAATATTTTTTATCTACCCATTAAAGGCACAGGGAACCAGTTTTTAAAAGACTATTTAACATAATAGAATCTATGGTGATCTGGGGAATCTCAGGAAGACTGTCAAGTTCAAGTTTTAATTACGGATTTGACTATTTGTGAGAAGATCGAAGAAGAAAAATATTTTATAGTAAATAGTCCCAATTCTCTCTGGGAAGAGAAGAAAACTGCACTCAAACAAATTAAAAACAAAGCTGAAGCGAAACAACTGTAAATTGCTTAAAATGCAACAGTGGATTGCTAGGAACAGAAAAATCTCACTGCTGCAAATACCTGTATTGTCTTAGATGCAGACATTAATGGATCTATGATTTAATTTTGAAGGTGCTTCAGTCTGAAAGCTATATATATATACATAGGGGGAAGGTTTGGTGGAAGAGGGAGAGATCACCCTTCACAACAAGAAGACTGAAATTGAAATAAAAAAAATATTTACATCACATGGAAATTGTAAATTAAGTGAATTTTCAAACTTGAAAATAATGAGCTAATTCTCATTTTTATGTCTTTAATAACCTGTGTTATAAGAGTTAGTGAAGTAAACATTTATTTAATTTATTATTTTGATGGAGTAAATAAGGAAGATCCAAAATCTTGGAAAATATAACAAGGAACTGATGGAAACATTATTTGGTGGAAGAAAAATATAATTGACAGATAAAGAGTAGCACTATAACTATGTCATTAATGTTATATACAACATATATATATATATATATATATATATATATATATATATATATATAAAACGATTATTACTTTGGAAGAATAAGAAAGATTCTAACTGCCTACATAATATATTGTGAAAAATGAAAAAAAAAGTGATTCTTTAAATCATATTAAATGTAATTAAACGAACAATAATACTTTAAGAAATAATTTTGTAACATTTTTTTCATAAGACATGGTTATATTTTATCATTTTGGGGCTTTCAGGCTGAAGGCTCCCCCTCCTCCCATCTCCCTAGATCTCCCTGTGGATGCGGGGCAGGGTGGAATAAATAAATAAGAAGTAATAATCAATAGTCCAAAAGAAAATGTTTAGGAATTAATTGATCTCATAGAATATGATTTAATTTTCATTGTTAAAGAAAAAATTTAGACTGATCTACAAATCAATGTATAAAACGCAATTTTCAACGGTTTGTGGGACTCATGGTTGTAAGATTTTAGTTCGACAAAATCCTTTCCGGCCAAAGCCTTCGTTATATTTCGGTTCTTCTTCAGCTGTCTGAGGCCCCGCCTGGGTGGATGAGAAAGCACCCTGCCTCCTGTATTAATGAGAACACTAATAACATTTTCCGGTCGCACGCTCCACTCCATTATCCACTGTTTCCAACCACAGCATCGTCCCAACCTGGCTCTCAGCAAGTGAGAGTTCGTTGCCCAGGCCTGTCTTCACATGCAACGATAACAAAATCCTCCAGAAAGGGGTTTTCGTCTGGATATTAATGAAATTTCCTCAAGATATGGTCAGTGGCATAGATAACGCCAAAGCAACCGATGCGGTTCATCCTTTACTAGAAATAATTACGCAAGGGATAAAGTTAGTATTTTTTTAGGAGATGGGGTGAGGAAGAGGGCACAATAAGTTTGCATGGGGGCGCAACCAACCAGAACAATGAGTTAAGGACCACTCCAACTCCAGATATCTGAATTAAGAACATCTGTAGGAAATAATGATATTTCTAAATTATCCAGTACAACTTCCAGACCACTGGTAGATAAATATTAACAAAAAAAAAACGAGTATAGTTTCATTACCTGAGTAATGTAATGAAAATATTTCTAATTCTGTGATTTTTTTCTGTTTTAGAGAGATCGTAATAAAAGAAGAAAAACCAACCTTAGCTACGCCACTTGTAACAGTTTCATATGGCAAGTAGTGTTTTAACCCCCCCCCCCCTCCTCTCCTCTCATGAATCCAGTTTAGTATGCCATGAACAATAATAAGTTCGAACCAAACCGATTTTTAGTTCGTTACTCTATGAAAATATAAGTTCCGTTGATAATTCACTGTTTCGTTTCTTATACACTGTGGGCGGAACACATAGTTATACGTTTTCATTTTTTTACACATATCGTTAAGAAGTAAATAAGTAAAAGCATACACAAAATAATAGATTAGATAGATTGTTCGTAGGATCAAAGTAAAAATAGTAAATTATTAAATCTCGTTCCGCTGGGAAATAAATATTAACCGACCCTGGTAGGAATCGAACCCACAACGTTCAGAACCAAGTATTCTCAGGGACCCTCACCCCAAAGTGCTTCGGCCATCACCTCGTGTAGGTTCAATGTAGCAACTTACTTCTTCGAAATCAGTTCTGCTCAGTCGCGAAAACAGTTAACTCTGGAAAAGCGGACAAAATGGCGTAAAATAAAGAAAAAACATATATAGTAAATTTTTATAAGAATATATTTTGTTTCGAAGTTTGTTCATGAGTAATGAATTTTAACTTTAGTTTCACTTGGTTCGGATAAACGAAGACTCCATAAATAATGTAATTAGCTGGAAGTTCCACCACTTTACTAACTAGATTAAATAGGAATTTTAATATTTCAACTATGCCGGATGAGCTGAGAACCCTTCCAGGTCAGGATGGGTGCTGAGAAATGTCTCAGGTATTTCCTGATCGAACACTACCAGGAACCGAACGAAAGTTGTTTCGCAAAAGAGATTTCTGTAAACTGATTCACATAAACCAATTTCCTCTAGGTATACTCAATACAAGGAAAAGACAAATATCTTATTATTTAATAAAATACAATATCCAGTATAAAGAGAATATCCATACTTAATCCCTATGGAATTTTAGTTTTTTTTATTGGCAGATTATAGAGATTTTTTCACACTAGAAATGCTAACAAAAACCAATTAAGATATTTATCGCCAGATGCTAATGTCAGTTGCAAAGGTAGGTAAAAAATAATAATAAAATTTTGGTAAAAGTTCCTTATTGTGACTCCAAAATGCCGGCTAGTTTTAATATGATTTAGAGTACACTGTAAATGGAATCTCCGAGAATTGAAAAGCAAAATTAGATTGCTTAAATTGCTTTAATTTTTACGATTTTTTTTAAATTCAGGTCTTGTTAAATTTAATCGCCGATGACCCTTTAGGACAGATGATTAAAAAAAAAAAAAGCTCAGTAATTGATAAATGTTGACCGTTGTAAGTACGTACTTAAAAACTATTAGATCGTTTTGTAAAAAAAAAAAAAAAAACATGAGCACAAGATAGTATTCTAATAACTTTATTGTTCTCTAGTGTTGAAACAGATTTTACTTCAGAACATAAGATGTCTCCTAGAACGCAGAAAACTAAAATTAAATGGGTACTTAATCAGTAAAATGAGGTATTATAATATATTATTATGGAAAAATAAAACAGTAAAACAAAGAGTGAGTTTTTTTCAACTTCCGCATTAATCGACCATTTTGTACCTACCGTGAATCCTTCATGCACGGATAGATTTATTAGCGAAACCAATATGGCGAGAGCGTATGGAGATAAAATGCAAAAACCACCAAAACCTGTTCCATCATCAGGGTCGGAGAACTCGACCACAACGTAAGAGTTGGAGTAGAAGCAATTGAGGTTTTTTTTGTTCTTAGTCAAAGCCAAAATTACAATGAGGTTTCCATTTTGATAGGAAATGAAGTAAAAAATAAAAACAATAGACCGTTTTCTTTTGTGAACGACGAATTTTATGTTTCAAATAATAATGTTATTTAGAAAAATTTTTCTTTAATCATGAAAAATCGTCTATAAATATAAGACAGAAGAGTCGAATTGAAAACGATAGTTGGTTCATCCGATGAGGTAACAGATAACACAACCATATGGTATCGACACGAAAGAGACCAGCTGTGTGCGGTCGGATGGGGACAAACCAACGTTCGACAAGTCTGTTCCACCACAAATGTCCTAGGATAACAAAAGCATTTTGTTTTTTAAAATAAAATATATGGCCAAAATAAAATGAGACAAAAAAAATTAGTATCTATTTTTTGAAGGGCTAGCTACCAAAGGACACCTCTGTATGTTATTTCCATAATTTACCTAGGTATACAATTCACATAGGGAGTTTTCAAACTTATTTCAAAATTAAAGGTTTTCATAATAATTTTACAAGTCTCAAGTGCACAGTTTTAAAACATTGCGTGCCCTGCCTCAAGGCGACTTTCGATTCCACCCAAAGGTTTTAAATTGAAATGGGCTTTTCAAGGCGAACCAGAATCCCACTGTTGCAGACACGTTTTCGCGGGTAAGTTAAGGCGAGCGCGGGAACTTCACCACCTACTCCTTCGAGTACGATGCACCCACTTCAACAGCAGAGGAAGAGATTGAAATCTTTGAAGAGACTTTAACGCTGAATAAACTCGATATAATGATTAATGAAGTACTAAAAGGAGAATTCTCTGTACTGTATGAAATTAGAAAAGCATAATCACGTATGGTTTTACTATATGATAATTCGGATATTCGTTAACAAAAATAA